GTACATCTACGATCCCACATGTTGGACTCGAACCCAGGATCCTTGGTCTTGAGTACGAACTTTTAACCTGTAGACCACTGAACTGTGATCAAACAGTGTTAATGTCTAAATTCATTTATAATTGTTAACATGAAAAGATCGTAAATCCTGTCGTATCCATAATGACTATTTGTATTTATTGAAATTTAACTTGCCAATATACTAGATATTTAAGAAATCTGTTATATCTAGAGGTTAGATATATACCGGTCATAATATAGCGCGTACTACTCAATCACTCGAACGCGAGAACCCACCAAGTAGAAAATGAGAAGACAGAAGACAAGTGAAAGAATGTTTTTCTAAACAGCGTCAAATATGGTACAAAACTCTCAGGTATTTACGAAATCATCATTATAATCATCCAATCCGCATACAAGGGGTTCATAGAATTTGTTCAATAGGAAAGCTACACGTAGAGATTCTAGGATATTCTTCCAAAAAATGATTGAATGGAATATCTTCGACTCTTTATGAGCTTCTTAAATCCTTCTCGAGTTCATACATGGGCCGTCCTCACAAAACAATTGAACTTAAAAATTATTCTTTTATAGTGTTAATTTATTGTTTGTATGTAAACTAAATTTATTCATTTACGTTTTGTCCTTTATTTAAGCATACAATTACGAGAAATAGATATTACAACTAATAACTGGATAATGAAATTATAACTCTATAATCTTTACTATTAAACTACTATGTGACAATTCACGTGGTGTTGTTGTTTTACTTGTATCTTCCCATTGTTATTTAATAATGCAGTTAATCAGTCTCATGTTGATATATGTGCATCCTATGCGGATTACCTTGATTCAGTCTTCAGTCAAAAGCTTTTTAAGCAAAGATGGATAGTGGCTAGCAGTGGAATCCAAGACTCGCATTTCGTCTTATTCGGTACTCGTCAGCTGGATGTACCTGCACTTCAGAGTTGATGTTTACACCGGGACTGCTAACCACTATTCATCTTTGATTTAAAATAGTATGTAACAAGTTCATATTGAAACCTAGTATATTTGTATCAAAAATAATTAATTAAATGAAATCAATTTTTCACTCATTCATTCTTCAATATTTACTGAAATAAATAAATTGTTCTTTACATGTGAATAGTGAATAAGTTCAGTGAAAGTCACATGAAAATTAATTTATTAGGAAAATTTCACCCTTTTTTGATTTATTTAAACATAAACAGAAGAATAATCTTTCATTCTACAAAAATAATATGCATCATTTATTTTAATTCTCATAGATATGCCTGTTTTGAATTAGAAAATAGGTCAGGACAACCAAATGTATTTGAACACAAACTAACAAAATATCTTAGTAAAATCTCAGAACCATACAGTAAATATTTAATTTGCAAAATGTTAATCAATCGATCGTCTCAGACTTAATTGTTCATTCGTTCCTACACTAATCACTCCCTGTTCTCGTTCTCTTCTCTTCAATCTTCTTAACCTTCTGCTGCTAGGCATTTCACTTTCGATTGATTATACATATTACTTATATTAGTCAATATCAGTAGCACACACCACATGAAAACTAACTGTCTCTTACAGATACATATTAATAAAGGTCCCTATTTTTTGTATCAAATTAAAATAAAGTTCAATTCTACGTGTATTATAAGTCACAAAGTGTTTGTATCATAGTTCTGTATAGTGTTGTAGAATACCTTCATTGTAGAAAATGTTCCTTTGTTATGAAAGCATGGTTTTTGATAATAAATATCAGATAAACAAAATTTTTCAATATATCTAGATGATTCTTTACAAGTTTTCTGTATGGTTGGGTTATTGGCAAGTTCCATATATCCCATAAACTAATCAACAATATTGTAATGATCATAACTTATGTCTATCTTTGTTTTGACGTTTAGATCATAACTTCTGTCTTTGATCATGAAAATAATAACATTAATAATAATAATAATAACAACAGTAATAATGGTAATAATAATAATATGAACTTATCATAAGTATTCAGAATGACACCTATATTAAAATCTGATTTATGTAAAATATTCTAACTAAATAAGAATATAAATGTAAGTGAAGCTGTTAACGACAGAATATAAATTTCTATGACAATCATCAATTTAAAATACAAACAATTTTACACTAATTCATGTACTGGATAATGCATATAGCTACAAAGGACAATTCTATCGATAAGTCTCTTAGTTATAGAAAAAGATAAATAGTGTCTAGAAGTGGAATCCAGGACGTGCGTTGCTCTCTATTCGGGACTCGTCAGCTGTATGTACCTGCATCCCAGTGTCGAATTTCACTCTGGGACTCAAACCTAACACCGATCGCTTCAAACTACAAAGCATTACTCAGCCCTTAATAGGATGAAACACGCATCCTGAATTACACTGGTAGCTATCACCCATCTTTGTTTATAATGCTTGTGAATTAAAGCAATATCGAGGCAGTGCGCACGGTATGCACATACGCCAATAAGATACTGATCAATTGCAGTATTAAACATCAATGAGAAGAAACAAGTAAACAATACCAAGTGAAATTAATCTCTTAGTTATATTTTCATTAACAGTAAAATAATATATTTTTTGTACACAATCAGTAATTCCATATATTATTGTTCATTTCAAGTACTCTGTCAATTTAATTGTCTTCTAAGACTGGAAGAATTTAAGCAACTGTTCCATCACTGTCAAAGAATAACCAATAAATCATCCATTAGCAAATGCAGAAATCTTAAATACAAATTCTAGGTTTTGTGTATTGGGCTTGTTATGATGATTTTTCCGTGATATATATATATGTATAACTGTCCCTAATTGTCTTCTGGTCATATCTGTGTAGTTGACTTTTGGGCATTGATTACATGGCGAACTTTGACGGCCTGCTTAAATATCTGGGATGTCTTTTCCTGTCATCTAGATATTTTAACAAGTTATCTATCTAGTACTTCCAGGTTTTCAATGATGGTCTAGTTTAGATCGACTCATGAATTCAAGTATTAAAATGTTCTGTTTTTTTGTTTATTTTAACACATCATTGTGTTTATTATTCGCATAACCTATTCAGGTGCGTTTATGAAAAATGTACGATTGTTCTCTGTACAAGTCACAAAAAGTATAGTCCGAGGCATCGTGGTAGCTGGCAATATGAATTGAAAAGAATAAACATAATTCAAAGGTCGATTTGTAATCTGTGAGCATATAACTAGCGATTAATTAAATATTCGTCGTCAGCATCGATCAATAAATAAGAAAAAGAAACTTACTGAAATACTTTTTATCCTTCTTTATTAATTTTTAATGCTTTTTTTTGTTTATCAATTTTAAACAAAATATCCTATTGAACAACTGAAAGCTTGTTCAGAATGCTCTTGTTTTAACAGACAGATATTGTTGTTTATCACATACACGGACACACACAGAGACACGAATTTTTTTCCACAGATCGACTTTAGTTTTTCATTCGTTTGATATAGAAATATATTTTGAAAAATAAAGAATTACGTGTAAAACATAGTGACTGATTGAAATTACACTAGCAGTAAAACACAAATATAAAGATTTACACAGAAGTGTATAGTCGTTTTAGTTCATTATAGTGAACTGATCAAAACTGACAAATTATTCACTAAAGAATTCTCAAGATAGTGCTGTGAATATGTTGCTTAAACTTAGTTTAATATTTGAAATAGAAATTTAATCATAAAGTTTATATAACAATTTAATTATGGCTTTAAGCTTGTTTGAAATATGCTATTATTAGTGAGTCGAATAACCAAAGACAGAAAAACGCAAATAGAAAACACTCTTTATATCAACGTTTTTATATTGATAAGGTTTCACATGGTTACATAGTGAGTTCTGTGACTGGAGTAATGATCAAAACAGAACATACATCAATAAATATCACTAGTAGAATTATTTACCTAAGGAATACAATGTACATAATACTGATAATAAGTATATTTTTGTTATATCCTAATGAGTATAAAAATTGTACTTTTGACGTTTCCTGACTTAATGTAAAACACTTCATCAGAGTACATTTATTTACTATGAAGTGTTTTACATTGAGTCACAAAACGTCAAAAGTACAATTTTTATACTCATTAGAATATAACAAAAATATATTTATTATCAAAATTTTATCCAATGCTCAATTTATTTTAAACTAACAAGTTCAGCCTTGACATCGATACCTATAAATATAGAGTATTGTTTGTCCTTATGAAGATAACAATTAGTCTTAGTTCCAACAATCCATTCAAACAGTTATGTGTACTAACACAGTTATTTTGCTTTGTTAAATAAATTAACAGATAATTATTTGTCAGAAAGAGGAAGTTGGGATTTCCACAACCATAGTAAACTCAAAAGTGACTCATTGTTACAGTATACCGCTCATGATTTCAGCAGAATTTATAGAAAAACTTTTTCCAAAACTCTATTATTGAATCCTTTTGTTCGCAATGAACTCAACCTTCTATTGGGATTATTCAAAACCACTTATAATTAGGAAACAGAAAATCACTCGTCACGTTTATTCATATCGAGCTGGTTAATGATATCTACTTTAATTATAACATGATATCAAATAATAAAAAAATACCATCATTTATTTATTTTAAATACGTATTTGGATCGGTGAAGTCATTCTAAATAATCTGTATCTACCTAACGATAAGCATCAAAACATAAATCAGAGACTATTTGATTATAAAACTCAACCGCTCAACATTGTAATTTACGCCAAAGTTAAATATTAAACTTCCCCACGAAAACCCGTTGAAAACAATACAACCACACTCCATAACCAATATACGTTTTAACTTAGTCAAGAAAAGTACATAAAATTTTTGATAAATAATCCATTACCATTTCAATCAAAATTCTGGGTTATTTCATCTGTGCTTCAATGATCGTTTTCTTGTTCTTTTACAAATTACTACATGCGTTTTTACAAATTGTTTAGATCATCAACTACACTGTGGTTACCTTACCGAACGTGATCCATTTTTACTGGCTGTTGTCAAAGATGATATACAAACATATGGAATTAGTCAATATCGTGCAATTTTATGGAGAAAAACAGTGAGTATTAACTGCCTATTTTAGTAACTTTGTGTTGATTATGTATAGGTCCATGGTTGTCTTCATTGTGTGCCATGTCAACATCGTGATCTAAAGAACGATAGTAATATTATATGTGGACACTGATGAAAATCTTTAAAGTAGGATGAAACAGTTGACTGACTCTTTTATTTTTCGATATCAGTTTGTAATTGAAATTCTTAAGTTCATAATTACTTGTTTCAATAATATCAAGTAGAAACGAGAGGTATGTGTGCTGACTATAAGATCTCACTGTGAATTTCGTGTTACGTAAGTGAACACGGAGTGCCGTAAAGAATTAAGTACTTTCATACTGAGTTACTAAGCTTTGCATTAGATTACTAAATTTCCATTTATTTATCGATCTGCCCCAAATGAACTGTTTATCTTCGAAAGTGAAAAACGTCGAGTTAGTTTGTTAAGCAAATTTATCATTTTTAAGTGATTGATATAATTTTAATTACTGATTCCTGGTTAGGTGCTCATCATGTAGCGAAATTGATCAACTGACCGTTCAATTAACTATGAAGCTTTCAATTGAGTCTTATGGCCAGGAAGCTTTTGTTGCATAAATTACTGTGTAGTAATGTAAAAATCTGAGCAAATACTTAGTAATGGTTTGTATTAGGCTGCATAAGAAATTCTGTTTTTTTTCTCTCAAACAACTATTTTCTTAGATTCCGCATTAACGATAATTATTTTCTTCTTGGTTTGATAGGGTAGTCAAAAATTATGTATATCATATAATCCGACAAATGCATTGACCGCAAAAAAGGTATTAAAGTAAGTATGAAGATTGATTTCGATTGTAAAATAATAAAATGCACACATCGTTTCCTCGTAAAGTTAAGTTTTAAATGGTAGATGTTTCGATGATTATCTATTCTTCATAAACAAATCATGAATAAATTCGTGAGACACTAACTAAGCAGTGGCTAATAAAGTTCTGCCCTAGTGAGGTTGATGAAGGTCATAACACTTAGGAGAAATGATCAAAACTGTCGTATTACGAAAAGTCAGTAAGTAACCTTCAAATGCATTGATAATATAAGAAAACAGTGCAAAGAGAACTCGTCTTCACAGTTGAATTCACGAATTGATCTAATCTGGACAATCATTAAAAACCTGGAAACACTGGACGGCCGTTTTGTCCTATTATGAGATCTCTTAGCAGTGAGCATCCTGCTCAGTGGTCTAGAAGTTACGCGTTCGCACGCAAGACCAGAATCCTGGGTTCGAGTCACGCGTGCAGGTTTGTGGATGTGCACTTCTGAAGAGTCCCATTCTAGGGAGAAACGACTATCTAGTACTTCCATGTATTCAATGGTTGTCTAGCATAGATCGACTCGTGAATTCGACTATTAAAATACTACAATCTTTATAAATGCCAATACTAATTCTTCTTTACGTTTAAAATCATTAGTTTGATCAATTCATGTCAGATTATTGCCAACCTATTTTTATGTATTCCGTAAAAATTTTTATATTATATCCGAAAACGATCTTTCTCAAACTTATAAAACTATCACTTAAAATGCATTTTTCATACTTTCACCCTCCTTATTTGTGTATGACAGTCACTGTCAACGAAGAGGAGGGGTTAGATGGATAATTTTTGAACTTAGATAATTCAGAAGGTCGACAGAAATCAGCGCACCAGTAGACTCGACATTTCGATACGGCCCGAACGGTGACAGAGACCGCAGTACTGCGAGCGGAACAACGGCTAGTACGATTTATTTAAGGGGTGATGATTGTGGTGTATGGTACTTATACGGACAGATTTAAGTAGTGCATATCGTGAATTAGAAGTAGGGTTCTTACTGTCAGAAGAGGAACTTGAAGAGAAGATAAAGACAAACCAGATGAATTCGAGCAGCAACAAGTAATAAAAAACAATGAAGTTTGTAAGGGACACTTCATTGAAGATGTGCAAATGGTATATTTAAAATATAGTTTTCATTTTTCATAAATGCACTGTCTAATTTTTCATAATGCAGTGGATTTATCGTACCCTTGTCTTTGTTCATTTCACTATCACTGTTAGCAACGAGCTTAGAACAAGTAGATGATTTGTTTAAATTAGGTATCCATTACTATGATATTCCGTATATGTTATTATCAGTTTAATATTTCCTAGCGGTACTGACAAACACCAAGCAACTTTACAAAACATATAAAATCTCAACTTAACAATATATTCTAATCATTCACATTTTAATAAGTGAATAAAGTATTTTTAGTTGGTTAGATTTTGTTATTTGACAATATGTTAGCGACCTTTTAACTTGGTAAATGCTCATTAGGCTGTTAAATTCAGTTCCACTTGAATAAGGTTACAGTAATCTGGTAAACAAACCACAGAACCCAGGCCTGTTTATATTGATAGCGCACTATTATTATTAAGTAAAAAACCAAAGCACGAATATTACATAGTATGTTATGTAATTTAACCATTCAACAAGTTAATTATTAAATGTTGCTTTTTTTTACCGATGTTATAAAAATGTTTTCTTTCAATTCATGAATCAATATTTTAAGTTACAGAATGTTGGTTTCAAAAGATTTTGTACGTGCTTATTTCCTAAGTTATTTATTTTTTTTAATCTTTAACAGCTTTTTTGATATTCATCGGGTAGAGAAAGGACCACGTGGAATATTGAATTTTGAAGCACAAAAAGATGCACTTACTTTAGAAGAACAAGAAGTAAGGACCAATCTCATTTACTAATTACTGAATTTATAGATTTCCATTTTATTATTTATCAATTATATATTAGAATACGTTTAGTTTTAAAACATAATCAACTCTATGAATGACACTTTTATAAACAATCAAATGAAGATGCTGTAAAAAGCCTTTTTGTGACCCGAGATCTGACTCTAAGTAGATCGTTTGTTGCTTGTTATCGAAATATACATATCACCAATCCTCAAATACAATTATCAACTTAAATCGCGTTAATGAACAACAGAATTAAATAAGTCAAATACGAGAATGAAGTGTTGAATACGCATTTTCTGTACAATCGTTGATCAGAAAAGATAATCAGAAAGACGGAGCAAAGAAATGGAGAGAGAGAAGCGAAACTAAATGACGCGCAGAGGATAAGAGTGAGCCAACTCAATTTAGTCAAGCGTGAATCGATATTTATAGTCAAACAAAATAATTTACGGACTAGAGACGAGTAAGATAAGAAATGCACACATATACGCTCATCTAAAACCAGTCAGTGTTGATAAGTATGTAGTATACAAGGGGAAAATGTAGCTTGAGATAAATGGATAAATTGGTTTGTCCAGAAGCTAGAATAACCCATGTAGGTTCGGCATAGGGCCATCCACTACAGTATGTCCTGTAGGTGTACTTTTTATTCTACTGACGATAAAATAAGTGTGCTTCAAAATATTACAAAAATTCTTTTGAAGGAAATGATTTTGTTCACAGCCGTTGAACTATTTCGGCCGTTAGGCATGTCTTCACCTTATTGTATTTCCGGTTTATTGACACAATGTTCTGTGACAAACAACACGCTTTTTTATAATCCAGTCATGCTGGATTATGTGATGAAAATTTTACATCATTTGAAGAAACTTTTCATCATGAAATAACATCTGATATAGAACTAAGGAAAACGAGGGATTACTAGACAGGATTTCATATTGAGTTTTTTGGATTTTCGACCATTTTTTATAGTGGTTCAACACAAGATCTAGCATATGACGGTTACGTGATGGTGGTATTAAGAATGTGGCACTGTCAAAATTAAACTGCAATTGAGAAGTTTTAAAAAAATAATTTAGGGTTCTAAGAGTACCAACTTGTATTGCTTATTACTAGATATTTGAATTTTGTATAGTTTCTGCCGATGAGTTAAAAACAAGGACAAAATTATTGTCTAATTCACTTTATCATTCATTGGTATACCAGTTACTCGACATTTATTTTTAGTGTTTATATACTCAGTTTTATACCGAATATTCAGAATAAGATATACCCATACCAATGGGACGAAATGCGAATCCGTCATCAGCAGTTGGTACTTGAATAATTTGTCCACTTTACCAAATCTCTGTATTGATTACATCATTTCAATCATTAATTAAACATTAAAACATATGATAAGGATATTTCAAAAATCAGAACATGATTATCCAAGCTATTTTCTGTTGGGAATGTATCTAGTTAAAACTGCCTTTTTGAAGACTGGTTAGGTTATCAATAACCCTCCTCTAAGTTTATCAGACACTGAACAGTTGTCTTAATGTCTTCTAAGTTACCATGAGACTAAATCCATATTATTTCTTTCCTATTGAGACATTCACTACCATGAGATTTTGACTACTACTTTAATTCTAGAAGTTTCCTAATGAACTACAGTTCATAATAACGTATGGTAAATTTTTTTTATTATAAAAGTCATTAATATAATTTTAGTTGTCAACCATTTTGGTATGACAATTAATGACTTTTATTAGACCAAAGATAAACATATCAACTCTAAAGTGATTAATATTGATAAAAATATGATATTCTTTCTAATTTTTTGAGGTCAACTTGAAGTGAAAAACAGTAAAAGACAAACTAAATCGTAAATGGATATACATATGACTTATTAATTTAATTTATCATTCTAATCAAACATCTTAACTCAATAACCCATTGTTATCTACTGATTCATGTTTAAGAGTCTATTTATTTGAATAACTCGAAGGTTAAGAAGTACAATTTTTCAAGATTACAAAAACTAAGACCTATTTTAAATGATAAAATATGATTTAAAAGAAAATTAATTTGTCTAACCAATTGTTTAATCTTATGAATATTTATGAAATGTTTTAAAGGTGGTAAGAATTACAGATTGACATTAGTTGTCGTATTACTGAAAATGAAGAAATAAATAGTTATTATCAGAAGGAATTGTGTGGAGATTTTGGAAATTTCATTGGTTGAAATCATGAATCCATTGAAGCTAGACCACCATGGAAAACCTGGAAGCAATGGACGGCCGTTTCGTCCTAGTATGGGACTCCTCAGCAGTGTGCATTCACGCTCCTGGGTTCGAATCTCGCGAGGAGCGGGATTGTGGATGCGCACTGCTGAGGAGTCCCTTACTAGGACGAAACGACCGTCCAGTGCTTTCAGGTTTTCCATGGTGGTCTAGCTTCAATGGATTCATGATTTCAACAAGTGAAATAAATAGTTGTTTATTTCTAGTATCCCAAAATATGATCTAACAATTGAACAGTCAACGTGATGGCAGAAAATTCTGCGTCCAATACTTTATGAGGTTGTAAGTGGACAATGCTGAGAATCTCCAAACTAGAAGAAAATATCTGTTCATTACTTCCTCGTTTACAATTGTACCCTACGTGATGAGATGTTTCTTTTTGAAGATTTTATTTTCAAAATCGATGAAAGTTCATTTATATTAAGAAAGTGATGTGATAAAAATCAATATTCTTAATGATAGTATCATAGCAATATAAGGTTTTCTTTGACGTTGACTATGTTACCCCTTCGATGGAGAATCCTAGTGAACGGCCTCTGCTCTTCCACGAAGTATCATAGGAGTAAGTAAGTCAGTACTAATATTCAAAGGATATTGACTTTTTCTGACATTTAACGTCCTAGCATCTCAAATTAATGGAAAACAAAACATTTTATTTCATTACCTTCTATTATTTTCTTTACAAAGGGTTCAGTAAATTTTAAATTTGGAGTACTTTATTGCGTTGAAGGTCAAACATCAGATCAAGAAATGTATAACAACGGTTAGTATTTTGTGAATTTTATCATTCAAAATTCTGAATAATTCTCAAAATAATTGAATAAAATTGTTTTTAGGCCATGATTAAGATTCCTCTAGGGATATATACTATTCATTCAGTTTCCTCATTCGAAGGATATAGGAAATCAGTTATAATTAGTAATTGTATATTCTTAATCTAGATTTACCAAAAATTATAAATCTTGTGTTATCTGATAACTGAAGTTCTTATTATTTCATTAATAAAATCACATTTTACATGAGTGTATCTTATATGACTTGAATCACTCAGTGAACATAGAATTGCATATTATATGTGATTGTGCTTCAGTCTCATAATGCTAAATATACTTTACAGTAATTCTTCTAATTTACAAATTATCACTGAAGTTTTTCACAATTAGTAATCAATTATTTTCTTCTTCTTTGAACTAACAATCTAGATGACAGAAGATAGACTAAACTTGTTAAAACTTATGACTATATCATACTGAAACCTTTCAGCAGACATTTTTCATTTATTAAATGCCAAATAGGAATTAAGCCTTAAAAAGTATAACTTAGTATGGAAGTGGGACTAAAACAGAAGCAAGAAAGAAAATTAAATGAGAAATAATACTTTCTCATTAGGCATTCATTCTTTTTTTCATAAGAGATTTAGATAACATCTTTCACTGGAAGGAAACTGTAGCACTACCATTCATTCTCAACATGACGTTATCATTTCAAACACTTAGACATTTTTGTAGTCGGTTTTGTCTGGAATGACAAAAAAGGCCTTATAATTTACCAACATGGTTCGAATAAACAAAACTTTATTCCCTAACCCATTCATCTTCGTCATACGTTTCAAAATTATATGAGAGTAACACGCTTATCGTTACTTCTAAATGGATGAATTTAGCAATGCTTCAGCTTTCTGCAGCAGGAAAACTGTTACCACGACTATCTTCTTGAGCATATATTTTGTCGACAAGCACCTGATACGGACTACCAGTGAATTATACCATAGGAGAGAGAGAAACTCGAATAGTGGACAATAAGTTGTACAACTAATGATCACGGATTTTCACTGAAGGATTTTTAATTTTTTTACCATTTCATAAAAGTTGAAAAGATAAATTGCTATGAAGAATAAGTGAACCGAGAAATTGGACAATGATGTCAACTGCAAACAAGAATCAAGTCGATGATTGCTGTAGTTCATTATTATATTTTGCCAATTTCGCTATGTCACTGTATTTTTTGAAACTGGGAAAGAATTTTTCAAACGATGTAGGGATTATGAATTGATTTATTTAATCTGGTTACAATGAGACTAAAAGAATTATTCGTATTATAATGCAATTATTTATAGGCAGTGTGATGGTTAGTCATTACATCTTTGAGTACAACTGTTATAATTCTCTATAATTACAACCCAGCTATTCCTATTACTTAGTATTCTTGAACATTTGACAAGCCCTCAAATCAGAACACGGTCGGACAGAAAGGAAATTACATTTCAAATAACAAAGGTAGACGGAAGTAAGAAGCACACTAAGCAAAACGTCAGTATATTTGTAGATTTTGCATGAGAAAATTCTAGAGTATTCTCCAAGTATCGACTAACGCTGATTGGATAAAAATTAGCCAATCAGCGTGCATTAATGCAATCGGGTATAGAGCATGCTTTAATCCAATCTATATCCCACTAACAACACCATAATTCAAAGTCATACTCTAACTACTATAATCTTCATTTTTTTATTGATTTCAACGATCTTGAGTTAGGTAAAAAAATTTTCAGAAAAAAATAATAAATCCTATTTCTGATTAAAAATTCCAAGACAACAATTTATGGATTATAATTTTCAAGTTCTCCGATTATTTGCTGTTTTTTTGCGATAACGCTAATCATTCATTTTATTGATTATCCGGTAACAAAGAACACACCTAATAAGTAGTTTACTGTAAAATTCAGTCAAACTTTAATCTCGTCTCTTCCTTCTCATCTAATGTTTGTTGTATTTTTTTCTTTTTTTCTTCTGAAAACCATTAATAAATTATTTATTCATTAACATGTTACGTCATAAACATACTTCCCTTGAATAATATAAAGATGAATGAAATAACTAGTTTTATAAAACAATAAAAAAGTATTTCTATTTATTTAAGTGAATAACTAACAATATTACGTCATACACTGAAGTATGAAGATTTAAGACAAAAAAGAATAATGTTTATATTCAATATTACATCTATTTAATAGATATACAGTAAATGCCATCCGAGAATACATAAATCACAGAATAAATATTGACGAGTTATTGTTTTTTTTTCCAATCACTTTTTTATTGTGGGAGTTGATCACCTAGTAGTTCCCTAGTGAATTCACAGTTTTTCAACAGTAATACATCTTTCGTAACTTTTAGATCATTTGGGAAACGAGTTATACTACTAGTGCAATTACTCCACCCCCACCACCACTTCCTCCTGGTTGTGTTTTATGTCGAAGCTCAAATAATCTTATACACATGGGGTTTCCTAAATTCAATCACATGGTATCAAATGACGATGTGAACAATGTTTAGTGTTTTGACAAATGGTCATATTCCGACTTGATCGGTAAAATTCGATCAGTACTAAAGAAGAAGAAACAAATGTTATACTGAATACAGTTCAGCGACTAATCAATAGGAATATCACACAATAGCAGTGATACCTAGTTACACCACAAACTTTCTTTACAGCATTGTGGTCTCAATTTTCAAAATGTTATTATCTCGACGCTATTATCGTTATTATCGTCGGTCAGCGATGTCTACTCACACAAAAGAGTTGACCTCCTTAATGTGCATTTATAAATTCAGTTGCTTCTGTGAAGATAGCTATATCGGGCGTACAACCAGGCAACTTAACCAACAAATGAGTGAACATCTACCAGCTTGGTTTATAAACGGCCAGATAAAAACAGTACGCAGTTCAATCCTGGCACATCTTATTGATAGTGGTCATGCTGTAGATAAATCGAAATCCTTTCGAGTGATCTATCGTATACCTCCATCATTTCCCAATGGAGTTCGTTCCCGTCTCCTACATATAGCTGAAGCCATAGGAATTCGTACATTAAACCCCAATTTATGTGTACAGAAGAAATTCGTATAATTTATTAACTATCCGTAAATCTAAGTAGTCAGCTGTAATCATATAGAAGATACCCATTTCGTACAATTTTCATACTTATATCTGATTTATTACATGTTTATTATTTAAGAGACTACAAGTAATGGAATAGTGTGCACCACTTATGCTGACAAATATAGGTAGTATATAGATGCAATCGGAAATGAAATGCCTGGCAGCAAAAAATCGAATTGAATAGAACAAAATGAGAATAGAGGGGAATCAAAATAGTAACAGAATTAGAAGAATAATGGAGTATGTAAAGGATGATGTTATATTTAATGCATGATTTTCATATTTTACAAAGGCACTATTTGATTTTGTATTAAATAACAAATTGCTTCTCTCCACCGAGTCTTTGTTCACTGCAATGGTAGTAAGGAAGTCAGAAAATCTATCTATATTCAAAGTAGTCGATGTTTTTGATTTGTTTATTTGAAAAGTTCGTAGAAAGCGTATGACTGTACATACCATAGAAAGAGGTCAATAAAACAATTACTTTTTTCTGTTGAAAATATGTTTTAGTAAATCTAAACTTATAACTACTCAATATGTATTCTCATAATCAAGATAAACATTTTAAATTATCTTAATTAAAGAAAAAGGGAGTGAACAATTTGAACGTTTTATTGATCTTCTCGGGGAAAGAATTGGCTTAAAATCTTGGGATCGATTTAAAGGTGGCCTAGATACAAAATGTAAGTGATAAATTTTGTTTTGTTATTTTGATGAGAAGTAAGTCTCAATATATATATATAATGTTATTAATACATTAAATCAAGCTGCTATTCACTATGAGATTTTAACTCATGACAATAATTGTTATATAAAGAATTATCAGAAGTTTTGTGGAGATTTTAGTGATTTCAATAATTAAGATCATGAGTCATTTGAAGCTAGACCACCATGGAAAACTTAAAAGCACTGTACGGCCGTTTCGCCCTAGTACGGGATTCCTCAGCAGTGTGCATCCACGATCCTATCCCTCGTCAAATTCGAACTTAGGACCTATCAGTCTCGCGCGCGAGCGCTTAAGCATTAGACTATTCTCTTCAATTGACTCATGATTTCGAATATTGAAATTACTAAAATCTCCACAGAACCACTTCTGATAATAATCATCTGCTTACTATTGACTTCAAGAGGCAATTCCTGGAGTCGTAGTGAGAAGCCATGACCAGTGGAATTGAACCAGGTCTGTTGTGAGTTATCAGCTCACTGAAGACAATGGTGTGCGGTGGGGCGATTTCGTAGATTGGTTGACGTTAGATATTAACACCGTTAGATACCGGTCAGCTCAATGGTCTAATGGTTAAGTGCTCGCGCTCGAGATTGATGGGTAATGGGTTCGAATCTCTCGAGGCGGGATCGTGGATGCGCAATGCTGAGAAGTCCCATACTAGAACGAAACGGTCGTCCAGTTCTTCCAGGTTTTCCATAGTGGTCTAGCTTCAAATGACTCATGATCTCAACTATAAAAAGAATTTCCTATCAGTTACAATAATTCACAAATTTAAAACTGATAAACAGTGAAACTTTACTTTTATCTTTATGTTACTAAGCGGAAAAGACCAAACATCATTTATTCATTCTTACTCATATTAAAACGATTTAGGAAAGAAATTATTAGTTAGTTTGAAATTTAACTAAATAAACGCTTACAATAATGCTACTCAACGAGAGTATAAATATTGGGGCTTTCTTTATATTCAAAAGTCATTTTGAGTATAATAATAATATTCTATAGATGAGCATTGGTTGCAATTGCATGACGCCATGGCCCCCAAATGCCCTGGTATGGCCGAGAGCGGGGAGGGTTCGCCCTCCCTCTCGAAATACTCTCACACGGCCACGCGTATAGATGAGCATTGGTTGCAATTGCATGACGCCATGAAAATGGCGGGTCAAGTCTGTTGTGGGTCTGCGAAACGTCCCGCTTACAAGCACTGGGTTTTTTCTGGTTCCTTACAACTGATTGAAGCCCGTCGGTCTACTCCGGGTGACCGTGAGTTTGACCACAGACGAAGGATGTTACGTAATGAAATCGGGCAAAGCTTGCGTAAGGACCGAGAAGCCTGGTGATCGGAGCGTGTTAATGAGCTGGAAGCAGCAGCTGCATCTGGTAATTACCGGAAGCTCTTCCAACTCATCAGAGCTACTGGCAGCAAGAAGTCTAGTGTGAGCGAAACAATCTGCGAGGATGACGAAACGTCAATCACTAACATCCATCGACGTCTTGGACGATGGGCAGAGTTCTTCGAAGGGCAGTTCAACTGGCCTGCTGCTCCGGCAACGTCGGTCAGACTGTCCTGCACTCCATGGCCGGTGACGACTGATCCATCAAATGAGGCGGAAGTCCGCAATGAACTCCAACTCTTGAAACGCTATAAATCACCGGGCCCAGACGACTTACCTCCGGCTCTTTTTGAAGATGGTGGTGACTTTCTGACTAAAGGACTGACGACGTTGTTTACAAAGGTCTGGGAACTAGAGAGTGTACCAACGTCATGGAATGAGTCGATAGTTGTCCCTATCTTTAAAAAGGGTTCACATCGTTCCTGTAACAACTATCGGGGCATAAGTCTACTTCCGATTGCGTCCAAGCTATTGGCTTCCGTCATACTTCATAGGTTGTTCAAAACCCGAGAAAGATTGACTCGCGAGGAGCAGGCTGGGTTTCGTTCTGGATGAGGATGTATTGATCATATCTTCACCCTCCGCCAAGTGTTAGAACACCGCCATACTTACCAAAGGCCAACAATCGTAGTGTTTCTTGATATCAGGGCTGCCTTCGATTCGTTGGACAGAACTGTTCTCTGGGATTGTCTATTGAAGAAGGGTGTGCCTGAGAAGTTTATTAACATTCTAAAAGCTTTATACACAAACACCTCAGGCAGAGTGAGGGCATACAACCACCTTTCTCCACTATTCCATTCGAGCAGTGGGGTTAGGCAGGGTTGCCCAATCTCACAATTCCTCTTCAACTTTGCCATCGATGACATTCTGGAAACAGCTCTGACGGATGTAAGTAATGGTGGTGTGGATCTGTTGCCTGGAGAAAGACTTCTCGACCTTGAGTATGCGGATGATATTGTCTTACTGTGCGAGAATGCCCAAGCCATGCAATCCGCACTTAATCAGTTGGCAATCAGTGTCCGTAGGTATGGTATGTGCTTTGCACCTTCTAAGTGCAAAGTACTTCTACAAGACTGGCAGGATTCTAATCCTGTACTCACTCTGGATGGTGAGCAGATAGAAGTAGTCGAGAAGTTCGTGTTTCTAGGTAGCTGCATAAGTGCTGGTGGTGGCGTGAGTGATGAGATCAATGCACGTATAGTGAAAGCCAGAGCGGCTTATGCCAATCTGGGCCATCTTTGGCGCCTTCGTGATGTTAGTCTGGCTGTAAAAGGTCGGATCTACAACGCGACGGTGAGAGCAGTTTTGCTCTATGCTTGTGAAGCCTGGCCTCTCCGAGTTGAGGATGTTAGACGACTCTCTGTGTTCGATCATCGCTGTCTCCGAAGGATTGCTGGCATCCAGTGGCAACACCATGTCAGTAATGCAGAGGTTCGGCATCGAGTGTTCGGTCACAGAGACAATAATGAAATTGGTGTCACCATCTTGAAACACCGACTTCGGTGGCTTGGACATGTTTTACGAATGTCGTCCCAGAGAATTCCACGTCGTGCATTATTTGCCGACCCTGGGACTGGTTGGAAAAAGCGGAGAGGTGGTCAGTATATGACATGGTGTCGTGGTATGAAAGAAAGCTGCAAAGGGCTAGCTTCTGTTGGTCCTTCACAACTCCCTGGTTGGGGTCCGAGAGACGGTGTAACACAGTGGCTAGAGACGTTATCAGATATGGCTCAGAATAGAAGCCAGTGGCGATCCTGCTGTAACCTTCTTTTACTTTCCTCATAAAAAGTGGTTGTATCTTCCTTAATTGAAAGATCTCTTCTGATTGCACCTTTCCGTTTCCCCCACCATTGTTCTCTCTCTCTTCCTTTTTTTTATAATTCCCCGTGTCCATTACTTTTTTTTTCTTTTTTTCTTCTTTTTTTTCTCTTTTCTCCTTCTCTTCAAATTATCATTGTTTTGTGTGGCGCATATATATTTGGTGCCCCCCTGTACCAATATTTATGTGTTCAAATAAAATTTAAAAAAAAATATTATTGTATCATAGAGTTATTATAGTATAATGTTGTATGATATAGATTATAATATACATTCGTCGGTATGTATAATGAACTCAACTTTCCCAATAAACTAATTTCATATGTGAGCATGCTTATATTTCTCTTTAACTGATAGAGTCTATGAAATAATGAAAATAAATTTTAGAATAGTTTAACATTGTTTTTTACATTTTATTTATTGAAAAACTATTCACAATTGAATTTTGTTAATCTTATGTTTATATCAACTCTGGTTACTAATAATCTACTCAATAAATACAATTGTCACTTCATCTAATTCATCAGATATACTTAGTTGGAATTTATTGTCTATAGACTTTCATAAATGAGCATATGGATAAAAATCAGATAAAACTGCCCTTATAAATTATTAATATATTTTTTTCTGATAAGCTCAAATTTTTTTATTACATTTTGATTTATGATTCCAGCGAATACAACAGGTATTGATTCAGTATATACAATTTATGAAGGTCATGAAATAATGTTTCATATATCCACTTTACTACCATATTCAACAGAGAATCGACAACAGGTAAGTGTTAAGAGATCTATTCTTTTTACCAATTCATTTTACTGTGAATTACTAATAAAAGTTAATAAACAGTATAAAATGATGTTTTTTACACTATTCCTCACCTCATATGGTATTTTTAACTATGGAACAATAGTTTCACCATTATTAATGGTCACTTGGGGTAATAAGCATTCATATGTTTTTACATTCCATAAATATGGCATTTATCAAACATAATTTTATGACCAGACTGTGAACCACCTAAAGAATATATAACCTCTATTACGCCAGGAACAAAGTTTTTGAATCCAAGAACAGACTGGAAAAAAAATTCAATCATACTATGGTAATAACTAAAAATCTATTTTAAATTTAATTGTGATTCATAGACAAGAATAATTACTTCTTATTCAGTAAGAATCGTTACAATATAACAAAATATTTCACTAAGTATCAAATATTGTATATGGTAGATGTGAATATTGGATTCTGGCTGTTGAGCTTAATGTTCTACACGTAACTTGATATCCCTAAATAAGGATCTTAATGCTTCTCTAACTCATATGAGAACTGCCTTTTTATATTGTTTAATATATGATGCATCACAACGTGTTTTGTATGTCTTTTTTGCTTTGGATACATAATATGTTCATTGTTCAACTCCTATTCTAAAGAAGAATTTACACCATCATAGTTGTTTACCAAAACCATAGGAATATTTCAGCCCGTTCTTTTTGATCTTAACGAATGAGCGGTCCAGTAGATTATTTTTAGCTTGATCTCTGATCGAACTGAACTTCTAATCCCCGTGTTTCTACTTTTGTCTGAGTATAGTGTGCTTAATTGATCGACTATCAGTTCATTCTCTTAATAATAAGGTTATTAAATATATCTTACCTCTTTCTTACTGATAAACTTATTTAAAACAAAGATAACAATGATCAACTAATCGATGTCTAAAGTTAGAAAACACTAAAAATATCCGTTCTTTTTATTAATAAATATACAGTATGCGTTTTTTTTTCTCTAGATTGAACGAAAACGCCATATTGGGAATGATATAGTCAATATTATATTTGTTGATGGATGCCCACCTGGACAACAACCATCATGGACTCCATCTATGATGAGAACTCATTTTACTCGTATCCTTTTTTACACCAAAACGATGATGTAATCAAGATAAAGTATTTGTTTTTCAAAACAATTAAAGGTCATTTGATTACTATGCTTTGATAGACACACCTAACAATCATATCACAAGTTCATCATTCGTTTGCTCAAGTATATATTAAGATTAGATCATAAAATAATAACATGTTCAACACAATGCAAAAACAAGCAAAATAAACTTGGATCCCTCATTATCAATAACATTATAATGAACATGTTAAAAATGAATTAGATTTCAAAACAAAAATTAACCAGTAGACTTTGTGGTGGATCCCAGCAAAAAAAGAGCTTATTCAAGATATAACAATACGCAAAGTTACCAATAATATACCAAAAAATTTAACACTACAACCCTAAGTATCTGTCTGTGTATAAATCAAAAGGGTAACTAATGACAGTTACAAAATAAATGGTATATTAAACAACAAAATGATAACAGTTCTATTGTAATGAATGTTACTTGTAAGCTGCTCACTGGGATAACAACCACAAATGAGTTCACTTGATTACCGAATATTCCTCTGCACATGGTGACACAATAGCGTAATGAGAAAGAATAAATCCAATAGTATTATTTAATAATGATCCGGGCCAAAATCCAACATAGTGTGGGAAGGCTTGAAAAGATGTTATAGCAATTATTATAATCTTCAATCAAAGACCGTGACCAATAAAGCAGAAGAACAGACGGTGGAGATAGCATTTGTATTTCAACCAACGCGGTAGTATATCTATGTGTGTATATAACCAAACAATTATATTCGTTTTTTTCACCATTGGTACAGAGAAACAATAGATATTGAATATAAATGTGATTACATATGAAGTGTGACAAATCAGAGAAAGCAAAATGGTTTTCATTTTGTCTTTACAATAATCACTGAATATACATGTCACAATTACTCTTACCAAACGATCTGATCTTCTCTATCCTACTTAGCTGATAATTTAATTTTTAATAGTTTGTTTTCTTTGTATTATATAGGTATATGTTAAATTAATTGTTTAAATGAAACTACTTATTAGGAATATATTTTGATTGGTTAATTAAAACATCGTATTATATTTTCCTTGATGAATGAACTATTCAATTAACAAAAAAACCAACAACAACAGATATATTTGCTGTGGTAACATATGATAATGAAGCCAATGTTTATAGGTAACGAAATCATTTTCAATTCTATGATAATAATTTGGTTTTAGATTGAATATATTTGCTGAAGAATCAGTTCCATTTTTTGGACCACCACTTTATAATCCTCCAGAATTTAAAAATCCACAAGAATTTCGTGAATTTCTTTTGGTAAAATGTAAGAAATTTGGGGAGTACTTTTTTTAAAACGTTTACTTAGATATAATTATACATATTTGTTAATAAACTGCAAGCTGTAACAGTTTTATAAATTGTAATGGTTGAAGGTTTGATTAGATAGAATGAAATAGTGGATGATCTCTACTAATGCCGTTTATATATCCCATATATATGTATATATACTTGTGGTTCTTAGCAGTGTAGGGGTATATGAAATAATTTCAGAACGTTTTACTCTCCTTCAAAATATTTCTGTATTAAACATTCTAGATCCCTATTTGCTTATTGTTTTCCTATGTGAATGTTATTTTCCCTTTGAGTATGAACACTGTGACTGTAGAATTAGTTATAATATTAAATATGGCATAAATCGTCTTCTATTATTACCTGGTATTTTTGTTTTTAAAAATCAAATATTATCTCTCAAATTTTTCAAAGAAACAACCGTATTCATCTGAAACTATTCATATGGAGTCTTTACATATCAGTTTTTATTATAGTGTAGATCTGTCATATCTTACTTAGATCAACTATTGTTATAACTTGATAGAAACACTGTAGCAATCACTGATAGGGCTATTTGTTTGTGATTGTTAACAAATGTGTACTGTCGATTACTATGTTAGGGATGTATAACTTATTCTAAATTCTGGACAGGCTAATTTATTCATTCTTCTTGAGTCACGTTTTGACCTTGTTAATTATTCAGTTATCAACCCTGATTGTTTTTATATGAGTGTATGTGTGTGTACATTTTATCCTACTCATCACAGATTTGTAGCTTATTTTTGTGTGACCGTAAATATTGATTAACGCTTGATTAAATCGAGTTGGCTTACACGCCTTCTACATTGTGGATCGTTTCACTTCGCTCTCTTTTTGTTTCGTATTCCTGATTGTCTGTTCAAATCACTGAGTGCATGAAATATACATATTCAAAATCCATTCTCGTATTTGGCTTATTTAATTACGTTATATTCACTAACGAGGATTAAATCGATTATAACATACGAGAATAGTCAGGATATATATTTCGACAGCAATCGTTCAATACCGATCATTCATTCGATCTACTTGAATACACAAAAATCTGACCACTTCCCTTTGTATAACTAAACAAGAACTGATTCTGCTTCGTATAAATAATAGTTTACACTACACATTAAAAACTATGGATATCACAGAGATAAATTTACGATAGAATCAGCCACTCGTTCAAAATACCTAGAAGTACCACTGAGTTGTATGTGATTTACTTATCTGGACAATACGGTAATGTGAATCTATGGAACTAGACAGTAGTTAATTTAAATCAGCCACCAGTTAAATGCATGTTTAAAATTTGTGATGACAATAAATTTAACTTTACTAACTGACAACATAACAATTTACTGAGTTAAATATTTGGTTTTTTAAGACTTTCTTGTCTCCACATTTTGATTTGCGTAGGATTTCTTGTTGATAAGAATCCACCTCTTGATTCCTTCTTCTTGCAAAGCAGAACTGGATCATATTCCATCAAGTTTTTAGTCTTTAAATATTTATCAATTTTAGTATAAGGGACTTGACGAAAAATTGATCCGTCTTTTTATAAATGAATATGAGATATCAGTCTTCATCCCAAATCAATCTTTGTATATTTCTTGTTGATACTGTACGGATTTGTGCTTTTTATAAGTTAAGTTATATATAAACTGACGAACAAGAAAATACCATAAGTCCTTTGTTCTATTTAAAAAGGTTGAGGTACTGTGTCAACTCTTCTGGTAACTAAACTTGGTGATGGAAACATTTTTAATCTTCAAGATTTCCTATCATCCACCATTATGACATCGGGTTTCTAGTTGACTAAAGGTTTACATTTCCCTACGACATTCAGAAACAATAAGAATGATCTTCATTTTATACCCAACAAACGACTGATACAAATTTCATCATCAGTCAGTGACTGTATATTAGATATAAATATATTTCATTTATCGAAGTAAAGTTTGACTGTTTGCATGGATGACGTATTTTATTTGAAAGAATCAGATAATTATCATCGAATTCATCAGTAGTCTTAAACAACAGTAAGGAATACTGAAAATTAGTGACTGCTTGTCTAATATTTTTCCTAAAGCACTTACTACATTATAAAAGTTGAAATCAAACACTATATCTTCACTTGAACCAAAGTTTTCGAGGCGAGAATAAACTTTTGAACAACTGTCAGGTTCAGCCAATTAAATTTCAAATGAATTTTTCTTTCTTCCGTACCAATTGTTCAGTTTTACTGGCCATTTTGGATTGAAATTAAACTTGAAGGCAGATTTTTAAACTGTATTTATTTTTAAAAGATACAATATTGGTGATGAGGTAATTTTCAATAATACACTCACAACTGATGAAATCCACTTACTTATAAAAAACGAAGCTGATTGATAAAACTCAAAATAAAATAGGACCTTACACTACAAAGGATTTATTTATTGTTCAGATATTTACAACCATCACTCATCCGTACATTATAGGAAACCTGATACTAACTACTTGTTGTATGTAAATTATGTACCCTTATTTATGGTGGTTTGTTGATATTAAGGAAAGTAGAAATAGGAGAAAATGGTTTGATAAATAAATCAATAATGATTTTTTGATTGAGAACATGAATAGATGAATGTTAGATCACTATTGAAAACCTGGAAGCAATGGACGTCCGTGTCGTCCTAGTATGGGATTTCTCAATCCTCAACAATCTCCACAACCCCATACTGTCAATAATAATTGTTTAAATAAAGCCAAAACAAACATGGATGCAGAATAATATGAATTCATTATATTTCGTGGTTTTTCATCAACTGCTTACAGTTATATATGTATTAAAAGCTTACATTAAGGTAAGATATAGTGTGAAACAATCAACATAGATGAATAATAAGAATTAGAATCACAAAGGTTATTAGTAACAACTATATATATGCAGGATGGAGGTTGTTTGTTGTTAGAATAAAAAAACACAAGTAGGTGATGCATTAATTAAACGAGATTCAGAGACAGATAAGATAAATTATGTGATAATTTTAGAGGTTATGAAGGATGTACATAAGAATCCTGGAATTAAAAAACCGATAAGGCGGGTTACATAATAACTGAACAGGATTTGAAGAGTTCACATTGGGTGAATGGGAATGGATGGATGATGGGGTAGAGAAGATAATTATTCCGTAAGGCAAGACTATATCGCAAAATGAAAACTAACAAAATAAAGATAATGACAAGAATGGTTGATCAGGATGGTAATAGGTTGATTACTGTCTGTTTTTGGATGCATAAATCGGGTTGGGGTTTTTCATCACTATTGCTTCAGCAAAGCGAAGAGACGCTGTATTTGATTGCCTGCTAATAATTTTGAAAGTTTGAAGAATGTCAATGGTGTGCCGAGTGTCAAATAAATACCTAGATATTGCACTGTTAACAGCCATTGCCCCTCACAGTCTCAATTTCTTTGGAACATGCTCAGAAATGCAAACATGTACTCTTTTCTCAGTTCTATCAATGTATGTGCTTTGACACGTACATGAAAATTGGTAAATGCAGTTGAAGCTACTTAGAAAAGAGAAACTGTTAATTGTTGTTTGTTTGAGCGAGCAGTTTTTTTCACATAACATTGTCACTTTTGCTGATAGATAAGCCACTTTTAACACGGAATTTATCCTTTCGTTAATTATTCTGATGATTTCATTTCTTCTGAAGCTCAAAATTTAAGAAACAGATTTTTTTCAACTGTATCATATTTGGCTTTCGCATACTTCTCAATGAACTTCACCGGATACTTATTTTCACATAGTCAATTTGTAATGAGAATAAATTTATCTTCCAGGCACTGCTTTGAGCAAAGTTTTACGTATACTTTCATAAATAGTTCATACAATCTCATGTTTGTTCTGACTTTAATTAAATTTATAAAAAGAACTAATTGCATAATATAATTGTTTAGTTATTAGGTTGAAGGTATATTGCATGACATGAATATTATCTAATGCAAAGAAGTTATATCAATACCAAGGTTTTTTTTCCAAATTTAGTTCAATATCAACATGCCTATAAATATGTTATAAGTTTATGCCCTATATTTGTTTACAAAACTGAATGAAATGAATGTTTACAAATCATTTTGTTTATAACTGTTGTTCAATCAATTTTAAATAATAATAATAGTAATAATAATAATAATAGTAGCAATAATATTAATATTAATAATAATAATAATAGTAATAATAATAATAGACAATACGTTTAGTGGATTTTCTGAATGGATTTACAAAATTCCATTTCCTATTTTTTTAAAACCTTTTATTAAATAAATAATTATTAGATTCACCTGAGTAAAATATATATTTTTTTAGTGGAAATAATAATTACGAAGCTTTCTTTACCTCCACTTTTATCCTTTTCGTATCATCTCGAGTGGGTTGAGCTGAAGTATACTTCCATTGGGAGCAAAGATCTATTTTTGTTTAAAATGTAGGCAAGTAAACTTCATAAATTGGATAAGTTCCCATATTTAATTTTTAAATAATATAACACAGCTTTAAATATATATATATATATATATATATATTTATATCTTAGCTAAGTGTTAGTTTTCTTATTCTGTGCTCACGTTTTCCGTTTGACCTAGTTAATTTTATGTATACTTCATGGAACCGTGTTCAGTATCACAGTAACAAGTTCTTTAAACAAAAGAACCAATAGGAAATCAATCGATAGTTGTCTGTATATAAATGAAGCTTTTTATTGTAGTCATATATATATATATATATATATATATATATATATATATATATATATATATATATATATATATATATATATATATATATATATATATATATATATATATATAATTGCGTTATGGTACAATGGGTTCAGTTGATCTATATTTAATAAAACAAATATCAATTTTAAGGAAATCCCGTTAATGAATGATAACTGTTTCAACTTAACGGTAAAAATGTCAAACAACATAGTATTATGATCTTTGGTTAACTTACATATCATTTACATGACAGTAGACTTTCTTTTTCTTTATAGTACTTAAATGAACACTTAGTAATATTAGTTGATCATAAAAAATATATTCAAATTTAAATCGTTTTGGTAATAGAAATGTTGAAAAACTTTAAAAAACGAGATTATCATTACATATCGATAAGTTCATATATATTGGTGGTTTATTGTAAAATAACTTTTACAAAGAAATATTTTAATTACATTTTGATAATGAAACCTGAATTTCTCAGTTTATTAATGCAGTTAGCTTAAACATTATCACGTGGTAATATATATATATATATATATATATATATATATATATATATCAGTAATATAATACCCTAATCTGTACATTTATTATTTCTATGTTTACTAAAACGAAGATAAGTCGGATTTTCCCTATATATCTACGATTCCTCAGTAGAGATAAACAAATAATGATTCGTTTTCTCCGAAATCCCCTAAAATTTTAATTGCAATTCAGTAATAAGGCATTATAGTTGTAAATTATTTAATTATCACAGGTACATGCATGAAATTACATAATTAGGATCGAAACTATTGATCGGATTTTACTGTATATCAACGAGATCAGTACGTGATATTCAGAGGATTTATAAAAATTACCAAACGATTTAATTGACATGGGTTTTGATTGTCAAGCAACAGAATTCAAATTATGTTCAGTTGCTGCATAGGTGTACTGATAATGGTGATCACCTGTTAATTGATGAATTATCTGTTACTAACAATTTCTATATTATCTACTTATTTTCCTCTCGGCAAATGGATATTTCGTTATGATAAGCAATAACCGGGCATGGTATTCAGATTTCATATCTTTTGAGTGATGAATGTTCTATAATATCATTATTTACTTTTGACATAAATTTCAACTATGTTTGTTGATGACTAAACATTCGTCATTATAAGATGACCCTCTTAGTTGATCAGTTGACCTATCTTCTGATAATCGATCATTCACTAGTTTTGTATTAAAATTTTCATATTTCTCACAACCATTATTTTTCTATATTACCTGTTGCATAATTTAACAATAACGACTGTAAATGTAATGCCAAATAAAATCAATCAACACATATTTCATTTGTTTCATCCACATCAATATATTGTCGATGATTAACGGTAATATATTTTATGTTTAATATTTCGTTTAAACTTTAGTAATCAATGGTGAAAAGGCTGCCTTTAGATCACCAGTATTTGCACAAAAACGACAACGCACCTTAGAAATGTTATTGAATGCGATATGCACTACTTATACAAGTGAAGCAAATGTAAGTGGATTTTGTAAATTCTTGGCTTTCAAACTGTATTTTAATAATTAGTCCTCAGAGGACCTTCGTATAACTGTTTAAATTCACCTATAAATATTCCATACATGTATTGTATCAGAATATTTAATGTTGACGTTCTTGTAAAGGATAGTAAAATCAAGTTTATTTTTTGAATATTCCATGAGTATCTAAACTTTCTGAGTAGCTACTAAAATACAGACTATGTGGTTCACATTTTAGTTTTTAAATGAATAAGACTTTTTGTTAATGTGAACAGACATCCAATCAGAATGTATGATCTATCAATAGATCACCAATGAAACCTTTATCAGTAATGCTTGAAACAATAGAATGACAGGTAAGCGCACACAAAAATCTTCTAACTAGATCTACCAGGATTATATCTTAGCGCCTTAAGATCAAAACACTAGTAATCCACCTCAATAAAATGCGAAATTAAGAACCGAGTATGCTGTCATAGGAAACGGTTTTTTTCACACAAACTGGAGAAAAAAACCAAGTAAAAAAGGCAATGCACAATTCAAAACAAACAGTAGAAATGTTCTTAGCTACTCCATGAACAGATGAACAAAACAAAATACAGACTAATCAGGTTAAGTTAAGTGTTGAAAGGTGCAACATTTAAGGCTATTATAAACATTCCAATGATAATGAATATTAATTTGAAGTTGTAGAATGTATGAGAATAGTTGATGATTTAAAAGTAAACCATTCCGGCAGTTTTTTGCCTTATTACAAAGTTATTTTAGAACTCATGAATTGAAGTTGCAGTTAGACATTAGCAACGCTGAATGTCTGATCAGTGGTCTACAGGTAAAGCGTTCCCAAGAGAAACTTAATGTCCCGGATTCAAGTCACATGTGCGGGATCGTGGATGCTCATTGCTGAAGATTCCCATACTAGAACAAAACGGCCGTCTGGTGCTTCCAGGTTTTCAATGATGGTCTAACTTACATCAACTCAACTGTTAAAATCGCTACAATCTTCACAAACCCTCATTCTAATAATTATTTTAGAACCATAAATATTTAATTAATGAAAATAATTTATATAACTGTATGAAAACTAAGGAGTTTTAATCCACTTGGTATTGTTTGCTTGTATATTCCAATTGTTGTTTAGGACTATAATTGACCAGTCTCTTGTTGGCACACATGAATCCTGTGCAGACTGCCTTGATATTGCTTTTAGTCACAGGCTTTATAAGCAAAGATGGATAGCGGCTAGCAGTGAAATCCAGGATGAAAATACTTTCATGATCTATCTGGCTAAATTTGTATTTTATTATTATTATAACATTGAAAACATAACGATATTAACTTGATCGAAACAAATAACTTTTTTTTTCTAATTTCTTCTTTGTTGATATTATCAAGAATGGTGCAATTTATAGACGAGCATTCAGTGATGTTGTAGTGGATTCATTCAATGGAGTGACAACAAGTAAAGAACAAAGTCGTAATGATGCTCATATCAGATATGGACAAGTGAGTAAAATCGATTAATTATGTACATTTCATAAATTATACAAAAATCTTTATTTTCAATACAATGTGATATATCTAACACCAAAAAGAAAATGTGAGATTCCTTTTTCTTCAATTTTCTATTAACGATTATTTCCTTCGAGATAAATTTTAACACATGATGACTAGAAAGTAATTTATCTATAAATTCAGCTGCATTAAACATGGGTTTTACTTTGATTATATTGGTCAACAGTTTTATACACTAATAGCTTCATTAATTCAGTCTTATATACGCATGTTTCGTTTTATGTGGGACTCGTTAGCTGGATGTACCTGCATCTTCGAGTTGATGTTCACTCCGGGACTCAAACATCAACTCTGGGATGCAGGTACATTCAGCTAACGAGTCCCAAATAGGACGAAACTCTGTTAAACTAAGCAACTCACAGTACAATATACATAATATCGCAGTGATTTTTTGTTTACTTACTTCACGAAATTCATGCATAAATTCAGATGTTCAAAAATTTATTTATCACTCTGTTTTTTTTAAATTAATTAACAAATACAAAGTTTTAATTCGTACGACGCATTAAGTTAAATAGATGTTTAGGATGATGTGCAATACTCTTGAATTTTTCTATATCGAACGAAGCAAACATTAAATCACAAGATGAATGAGTCTTCAAAAACATATATATATATATATATATATATATATATATATATATATACATAATTGTTATTGTTTTAATTGATTTAATGGCGATATATTTCCTCCTGTGTCTATTCCAGTCTTTTAACAGAAAATCATCCATAAATATCTACTCAAAAAATATTCAATAATAACCGAAAACTTTTTCAATATTTTTTGGTTTCATATACTATATTGAAAAATAAAACCTGACAGTCACTAATGAAAACAATTTTTTTATCAAAAGAGGTTCTTGTGGATAATAACTTAACAACAGAAAGTAGTTTTGTAGAGATTGTAGTAATTTAATAGTTGAGTTCATGAGTCAATCGAAGCTAGATCAGTAGGTCCCGGGTTCGAATCCCGCGGGGTAGGATTGTTGATGCGCACTGCTAAAAAGTTAAACAGTAGGACGAAACGGCCTTCCGATGTTTCCAAGTTTTCCATGGTGGTCTAGCTTTAACTGACTCATGCACTCAACTATTAGAAAGCAATGTTATTATTTTGTTAATTATTATTCATTATCATTAATTTCCTCAATAAATCCATATTGAATTACTGATTTGAATGTTAATTTCATTTTGCGTTACTAGATGTTGAAGTTAAATACAATAATCAGAGGGGACGCTCCAACTAGTTCCATAACTAGTGGTCAATCAAGAAAAAATGTAAGACAGTTTTATTAATCGTTATGTTTATCACGCATTTCAAAATACTTCATGTTGTCTTAACTTCATTATGATAACAATATTATAGGCTTTTAAAAAAGCGAAGTATAACTTTTATGGCATTTTTATAAATAAATTAAATTTACACACTTAAAATCACGGGTCGACTTAAGCTAGACCACCAATGAAAACCTAGAAGCATTCGACAGCCGTTTCGCCTTAATATCAACAGTACACATTCACGATCTTGCACGCGGGACTATAATTGTGAAAATACCACAATTTACACAAATCTGAATACTGATAAGCATCAATTTATCTTGATTAGATGATTCTGTATTTTGATTAACATAATTTATCACAAAATTAAGTAATCTTAAGTCAGCTTAGAACCAAATAGTTCACTGTTTGAATATAGTGAGGAAATACTTCTTAGAGTTAAATATTTGGAATCAATGAACAGCCTTTTCGTCCTACCTTGGTACCCCTTAGTGATTCACACTCGCAATCAGGGTCCTGGGTTTGATCCCCGGTCGCTTCGTTGTGGATTTTTAATGGTTGTATAACTTTAATCGGTTTTTGATTTTAATAAAATTCATTAATCACGACCCAATACTGGAAATAAATTATGGTTAGTACAGATAAAGTATGTTTATTTAGGTTCATAAATTTGTTATATAAAATTGTTATCTGGAGTTGCGAATCGAAATTAAGCCTAAGTTTCATAATAAAGTTTAAGAAAACCATTTCCTTATTTATTTGAAAGGTACCACACAATACTTCAAACGTTGACAGTCTTTAAATATACTCTAAACATGAAATCCCAGTTAAGTGTGAAATAATTCTATAGGTTGAAATAACAGAAGCAGTGACCTATTGCATCACCGAAATCAGGACTTGTCGCAGAAGCAATGATACAGAGACTGGAACCATCCGTCGTACTAGTGATTAAGTCAAAAATTTCAATTCCTTATGTGGACGACACATTCTTCATCGTCAAAATAGACGAGCTGGAAAACATCTACAATCTGACCAACAACGACTTTGATAACATCAAGTTCACAATGGAACTAGAATCTAACAACAAACTACCATTCTTGGATGTATTAATCTCCAGAAACGACACAGGAAAACTGAAGACTCAAGTATATTGGAATCCGACCCACACAGATCCTCAATTACAGTAGCAGCAACCCAAGAGCTCGCAAAATGAACTACGTACAAACTTTGTTTAAGAGGGTGAGGACACACTGAAACACACTTGCAGCACGAAAAAAATGAAGGAAAATACCCGAAGACCATCTTTCAAAAGAACGGCTACCCAATCAACTTCATCAAAAAAAATACCAGCCAAATGCATCGCCAGAAACAAAGTCAAGTACAAAAACCAACAAACGGATCACCTTACCATATATAAAAGGCATATCAGAAACTACAAGGAGATTGTTGAAGCCTTTCAGAATAGGTGTAGCACAAAACCTTACAAAATCACTACAATCAATCCTATGAAAACCAAAGCACGAACTGATAAAGGAAGAATATCCGAACATCATCTACAAAATAAATTGTTTCAACTGCAAAAAACACTACATCGGACATAATGGATGCCCTCTTCGTCTTCACCTGCATGAACATTGAATCGCGGTCAAATGCCATGACATATCCTCACTTATATCAATGCATGTGGAGAACGGTAAACACACATTCGACTGGAAAAATGTGAAGATCTTGAATAGAAGCAATTCTAAAAACAAACGAGAATTTTTTGAAGCTTAGCACTCAGGTCAATCAGCAATCAACAAGCACATTGAAATCGATCCAATTTATCAACGAATCAGAAAATTTATGAACTAATATAGTATTAAGAATCAAATCAATGGGAGTTACATTCAGAATAAAGAAGTAAACAATGACAAGTAAAAGGTTGACAATAACCAATGAAGATCGAAGTTTACAGGACAAACTATGAGCCATATATGGAGAAATTCGAATACTTCACTTATACCTGAAGTTTGTGCTGATAATGTAGTTCAGAAGAATGATGAAAGCTCCACGACTAAACCATCCAGCTCAGAGAACAAAACTTCATCAAAATCATCCATCTCAGCTACAAATCTTCTCCACTATTGAAATAACGAACAAGCTTAAATATGTTTGTGGTTTAATATACCTAATATCTAATCTGAATAATAAGTCAATGGAAATGAAAGTCATTCGATAGACTAGTGATTAAAAAAGAATTAAATGTAATCAGTTGTAGGAAATTTGAAGAGTAGTTAATACTCATTTCTAATGTACTAAAGTTTAACTTGTTTTAGTAAAATTTGTCAGTCAAGTTTTCTTAATTGTTCTTTGAAAAGAAATTAAGACGATAACTTGGCTTATTCATGTTTTATCTATAAGTGATTATATGTAAGAAATGAATTAGGAATTTGACTCTGATAAAGTACCTAGAAATGAGAGTTTCAATTGAATTTGTTGACAAATTATTGCTTGGAATTTACTTGATATCATTTGCTTGTATCTTCCAATTGTTGTTTTAAGATTATAATTCATCAGTCTCTTATTGACATACATGCATCCTGTGCAAACTGCCTTGATATTGCCTTTAGTCACAAACTTTATAAGCAAGGATTCTATTGCTAGTTACCATCCATCTTTGCTTAAATGTTTTCTGCTCTCGTTACATATATACTTTAAACAACCATATTTAACCTCTTAACTCGACAGAACATTTATTCAGTTCATAGATGTTTAAGAACCCTATTTATAAATGATAATTTTTTTATTTCCCTGAAAAGATGCTCAAAGCAGACTATCGAAAGAAATTTCGATTTTTGAAATTTCTACTAATATAATTTCCTTTCTATATTCCTTAGTAAAATATGCGAAACATGTTACCTGGGAAAGTCATATCCATGATCTATAACAATGAGTATAAGTCTAACTAAGTAACAATTAACATGATTTGAAAATGCTATATTACTGAAATTACTTATGCGGAAGCGAATAATATATTCTTCGATAAGTATATATATATATATATATATAATCATGTGAACTTATCATTTTTCTATTAAAATAATTATGTTTATGTCAATAAAAGAGGTTACTTCAAATGAATGGATTTAAAAACAGTCACATTTATCGATTCATTGAATCGATATCCCTTGAATAGAGTATAAATCTAAATACCCAGCTAACATGTTTGTTTGTTTGTTTGTTTTTTCTCTGTCCTTATCTATAAGCATAAAAACAGTGAAATATTCAAGTTTTAATGTTTATTAAAAAAGATAAAAGAAAACATTTTCCAGAGAAATAGTTTTTTTGAAAAAAATATGCATGAAGTGTTTAAGATTGAATGAATTGTTCATATAATCAATGCTCTACGATCATGATAAACAGATTCTTATTGGCATATATGCATGCTGTGTGCATTGCCTCGATATTGCTTTAAATCACAAGCATTCTAAACAAAGATGGACAGTGGATATCAGTGGAATCCACGCTTCTGAATTAAAGCAATATCGAGGCAATACACACAGTATGCATATATGCCAACAACACAATGATCAATTGCAGTGTTAAATATCAATCGAAAGATTCAAGTAAAACAATATCAAGTGAATTTAAACTTCACCCCATTGCACAAGCAGATGGCTATCAGAGCTCAGTAGTGGAATGGATAACGTGATGGCGTTTGAAACGATCGGTACTGGCTTTGAGTGCCAGAGTGAACATCAACTATGAGATGCAGATACATTCATTTGACGTGTCCCAGATAGGATGAAACACGCGTCCTGGATTCTACTGCTAGTTACTATTCATCTTTGCTTATAAAATAAATAGGTAGAAAACTAGATCTGAAAACATGAATTTCACTCGTAAACTTTCAGGATTAAATTTAATTATAAAATCAATGAGAATTTCATTACCTATTATTGTATGGGACAGTTTTACTTATATTTAAATAATATCGGTTATTACGTTAATTGTAATGCTAATTTAAGAAAATTGAATCCATGAGAGTTTAGATACTAGGTCAATAAATTGATGAGAATACATTTTAAATAGCTCAGTTTTCACGGACATATACAACCAACTTTTTAGGTCAAGTAAGGATATGATAAGAATATGATAAGTAAGCTCATAAAGCTTATTGTCCATTCAGGAATATACAATAATGAAAGATTTCCTCTTAGGTTGATTGACAGTAACACAAAATTAAAGTTATGGATGGGAAGCGCCCTAACAATAAAGGAAAGATATTTTGTTTGTGAACACTGAATTTAAACTATTGGTCTTCAAAAATGGATTTATGATAACACTTAAAAAGATCCATCAATCGCCCGAACTCCGAATTCTAGAATATGCCACATATAAATTGCTACTATGAGCTACCATGGTGTGCATATTTCATATTATGTCCTTGAGTACATTAGGTTATATTTGCATCAAAATCTAGGCATTTTTCGAACAGAAATAGGAGAATTATTTTACGTATCTATCTAAAGAAGAATTCAAACCAGTCAACAACTTTATGGTTAATCATTAGGTCAACTGTAATCACGTATCCCGCGTCCTTGAATCTTAAATTGTCTTATAACTTCAATAACGACATAATATCTCTCAACTAATTTTTTTAGAAAATACTGAGTCAAATAACTGTAGATGCAGTTGTATAGCCTTAGTAAACGACATCATTAGAAAAAAGCTCTTTACTGAACTGTCTGTATTTCATTTAGGCGTATAATAGTTCGGTATCAGACAGGATATGTTAAGGTGATAGGGTGATAGTTGTATCATAATTATATTACTTATAATTTGCGGTTTTCAGCTAAAGATAATACTCAATTCACCACTTATTTGAAGTAATAATAATTAATGGCAACTAGACCTCTTTTTAAACATACTAATTGGAAACCATATTATACATAGATCTAGATATCAATGTAAGCAATTGATTAACGGACTTAGCGTTGAATGTATTAATCGTACATCTATCTTAAACAAGCTCTTAACAAGATTCAGTTATTAATTTTAATTAAAAACAGACAGATGGAGGTATGTTATTCTTTAGATAAAGTTCTGAAAACGTCAATGAGGTTTCGATTGAAATGAATTTTAAACAAAAAAAACCTAGTGAAATGGGTAAAACATTTTATTACATCAAACTATATCTCCTAGTTTTTGACTTAATCAGTATCATATTTCTTGTCTTCTAAAGTGTTATATTACGTGTGCCACAGACGAAGAATCTTATTTTTCATGAAATGTTTGATTGACTACCGATATATACAGCTTGTTTTTGATTAACAGAACAACTTAAAGATCATTGCTAGGGTTGGATTCAAGGTTTTGATCTAATAATTTTTGTCAAACCGTCTCAGTCAGAATGAATTGTATGTGTGATTCTGGCATCCAATCACTATCTTAATAAATATTATGTTTCCTGAGGTTTTGATCACTTTACTGATGCAATATTGGGGCTAAAACACAATTGTGAGGAAAATCGTGTTTGAACATTAATTCAAACTAATATATGTTATAAACCCTTTAGAATTTTAGCTGTATAGTGAATTATATTTCGTTTAATCCGGGCCCTGATGACTGTACTATCTTACTTCATAATCGTTATAAATAATTTTTTCCTTCGTTATACTAACATTATCAAATGTTTTGTCCCTAACTTCCCTAGTTTGGCAGAGGGTAAGGATAGTCAGCTGTCCCTCTCCAAATGCTCTCACACCGCCATGTGTGTACAGCCACTAATAGGGAAGTTCTACTCACTGCCTTCCCGCGGTATTACTGTTGTTTAAGAAATTGAGAGGACGGAAATCGAATGCTCGGCGCCTTAACCGACTTGATAGATACGAAGGATCCATCTAGGGAAGTTGGAAAATCCTGATTCCAAACCAATAGTGCACATGGACTTCAGGATCCTAAAAGAACTAATGACGTATGAACTAAGTGCTGGTCACCGGCTACCATGGAACTGCATCTCTTGACGTTTCTCCATTGCTTTGTGGATCAGACATTTAATTCGAAGGCTCCAGGTGTGGCCCCCTAAAAATACCATCTGCTTCGGCCTGGGCACTTCAACAGTATCACAGACCATACACAAACCAAGTGACTTGTGTGGTACATATGTATCCGGTACTTCATTGTACAAATATTTATGTGTTCAAATAATAATATTAATTGAATGTTTAACTTTCAAATTGAAAACATTGTTATTTAATGATAAAGATGAACACCTTTCCGAGAATTATAGATATTTCTATCATAAATTCTTTCTTTGTTAAAATATTTCATTGCCTATATCAATTTTTTCAAGCTTCAAAACTTTACATTATAGTTAACTTCTTTTTATCAAACTAACTAAGACTTGTCCTAAAAGGTGAAAAAAAGAAAGTATAAACATTCTAACGAACATATCAGTGATCTTCAATTATTTTTATAATTTTAATGGTCTCATCAATATTTTTTTCTGATCAACTAAATTAGGATAATAAATTTTTTTGTATTTTCTAAGAATAAAAAAATTTTTTTAATTTTTGGATTGAAAGAAAAGAGTCAATTTCTATGGAATAAACATAATTAATTATATTACTTTATTTTGATTTAATTCCAGTTATGGCAACCTAAATTAATATATAAATGTACTCAATCAGAGATTATATGTGGAGATGTTTGGGGTAAGATAATCATATATGTATATACCGGTTTGCACTTTCTGTTCATTTGTTTTTATACAATGATAATTTTTTTCTATGTGCTTATTGAAAATTTCTATTATCTTCATTGTTTATCTCTTTTGAAGAAGTAAATGTATGTCAATACTTTAACCTAAGACTTATATTTTATTTTTAACAATCATGTTCATAATTTAATGATGAATATCATTTGTTATACTTCTATATGAAAGCCAACATTACTCAAACTATTTTATTAATAAGTTGAAAAGAATCATAGCAACAAAGTGATATACCTAAGTAAAATTAGATGTATACAAATGATAGAGTTTTTCAATATGATATTCTTAATATAATCATAGAATTCAAATGGTCTAATTATCCTTAGCAATATCATTCGGTAATAAAAATTTAGAAATATTGGTTTTAAACAAAATGCATTAGCTTCTTAATACTTTTGATTCAATTCAAATACTCACTATTAACTTATTATTACACAAATCTGTAGGGTAATATTTATACTTAGGTCAAAATGACCGCCTATACTATTAATAATAATGTTGACATGAAAATATTTATCACTAAATATTTAACATTAGAAGGTACCTTAACTATTTGCTTTAACTTCTAATTAATCCAGATAATATCGTTCCAAATTGATATTGAACAGAGAACTTTAGAAAACTGGGCATCACTGAAAAACTGTTTCATTCTAGTTTGAGACTCATAACAGTGAAGTTAATCATAATATAAAGAAGACTATCATTAGACCAAGATTATGTTATATCACAAAATGACTCAATTGAAGAGTAAAAGCGACTGGATCTTGATATAATGTATTAAAAAGACTTTGATTTATTTAGAATTAAGATTATATCTTGTTCATAACCCTGAAACTATGATGAAACAACAACTTAAATATCTTTCGTTTCTAATAACTATTTACCGGATATCGAATCGTGACGGAAACTGTTTTCAGAAAATAACGATAAATAGTCTAAAATCATGTTAGTGTTAGTTAACCCTCCTGTAAAAGTAAATGAATAGCAATTAAACGCATTAATATAAACAGTTAAAAAAAACATGAATCGAGACTGATCAAACTATTGATTCGATAACAATCTTGTTTTAATCATTTTTATGAATTTTAATACTGTGCCTATTTAAAATGTCTTCAACAGGTGAACAACTAATTGTGAGTACTGAACAAGGAACGTTTGGTTTTAAAGGTAAACTATAAATAATTTATCTTGACAACTTGAATTGTACACCTATAAACACTTTTCTTTATACATAAATATATTATCTATTATGATCTTTCATAATATGGAAAGAACTTATTTCAGCTAGACAATACCTGTAAAGCTAGAAATACACAATAGGCAACTGGTTTGCGTCCTAAGACTCATCAATAGTGTGTATCCTTTATCTGATACGTGATTTCAACAGAGGATATTAGAAAATAGATATTTACATTTAAAATACTTTGACAATTCAAAATCAGACTGATTATATTTCGTGAATTACATACGAAATGCTTAAACCTTTTTTCTGGGTTTCATAATTGAATTGGTTGATTATATGCATTTATTATTGTTTATGAAGAAGGATTAGTGAAGCTTAATTTGTGAGTTAATCCGTCAACTTTTATTTCATACATTACTAACAAACATAATCAATAATCACTAATGTTCCGATGATAATTTTATCAATGAAAAGATAACTTAGAAACAGACTTACAGACATTATTTAGTACAAGTATACTGCTTTTTTTCTCCTGATACAGAGAACTCTTTCATAAAGTTAGTTCCCAAAACATAATAGTTATGTGACTGGAATTCATTTTGAAATACATATAACATTTTGCTACAATTATGACTGTAATAATCTATTATTAAAATGTCCATATTTTATCAATCTGTTCTACTTTCTAATAATTATAATTATAAGACTTGACTGCATAACTAAAGAATCTGTTTGATGACCTCAGTTATTTCACCATCTTGATGCTATTTAATTCTTATAGATAACCCAATTCACAAACCCTGTATTTAATCATTCGTAGCATACTGTTACATACACATTATGGTTGATGAACATGAAATCCTTGAGAGCACTATGTAAATTGCTCCATTGACTCATATAAACAAAAAATGAGATAACGTAATTCTATCACGTAACCTATTTATAATATTTATCAGCATATTTTAACTCATAAAGAAACATCATTCTTATCTTCATTAAATATTCCTTTCATGAATTTATTTCATTCATTCATTTGAAGTTTACCTTTATCACTTCATCTGGATTTAGTGAAATAATTGTATCTGTGGACGAAATTATCCAAATGTTTTCATCATTATATCTTAATCGATTTAGTCAAATTCTTATATATTGGTATTAAACCAAGAAGAGTTATTTCAGTTCATTCAGTATACCCATAGATTTTATTTATTTGTATGCATTGAATGTAGCTTGAATACTAGCAGCTAGTTCTTCATTATTTTCCATGTTTGAATGAGTATATATATATATATATATATATATATATATATATATATATATATATATGTTCGTGACTGTTTTAAATGTAATAGTTAGTGATTATGTAACCACTTCATTTGAATTGTTTTAAATAATGTAGATCGTGAACCGCCTGTTTTATTAATTGATAAAAATGTGGAAGTGAAACAATTAGAAGTAGCTCAATTCGAACTACTGATCATTCGATATGATAAAGGTATGATGATCTATAATCTGATTTTACAGACATTGTTAATTTTGTTTAACATGAACTATTATCATAATTTGAATAAAGTCTAATTTTTTAAATGTTATAGTGATGTGTGCATTTCTTCAGCTCTTTTTACTTTCATCAATTAATAGATTGATCTTGAACTAGAAAATATACACATGAAGATACAGTTCGAATGAAAGTATTAAAGTTTTAGGCATCCATGCTATAGTTGGACTTGATAGTTTCACATAAATTGAGCATTGGGTAAAAGTTAATGATAAACATACTATTGTAAAATCGTAATAAGTGGAAAACTGTATTTTGTTTTTACGTTTCGTGACTTGATGTATATCACTTCTTCAGCGCCAATAAGTAGCCAAAATAAAATCAATACAAGTTAAAATAGAACGAGGGAAACAAAATAGAATATTTTTAACACAATCAAAATCATAATAGATCTGAACACGTCAATATCAAATTATTTTAGTCACAGGGATTTTATATGAGTTATCACTATATTTGTGTGTATGACGGTGGGTATGTATAATGTACAGTTTGTAATGTGAAGTAGTAGGGCTTCAAGTTACACACAAATACAATCATATCTCATATAAAATCTCTTTGACCAAAATAATATGACATTGAAGTGTTCAGATCTATCATGATATTGATTGATTGATTCCTAGAATGGAACTATGGCTTTAGAAATTCTTCCAAATGAATTCATTGGTGCTCATCATTTGAAATCGTAAACTACAAGAATATAATAATTTAAATATAAATAGATCTTTCAATGTTTGAGATCATGAGTCGATTGAAGCTAGACCACCCTGAAAAACCTGGAAGAACTGGACGACCGTTTCGTCCTATTGTAGAACTCCTCAGCAGTGCACATCCACGATCCCGCCTCGCGAGATTCAAACTCAAGACATATTAGTTTTGAGTGCGATCGCTTAACCATTAGACCACTGAGCTGGCCGGCATCCTACTGTGTTAATATCTAACTTCAACCAATCCACGGAATTGAGTCACACATCCATCATTGTCTTTAATGAGTTACTATCTTACAACAGACCAGGTTTTCTATGGTGGTCTAGCCTTAATCGACTCATGATCTCAACTATTAAAATTAATAATAAATATTGAATTAGTGTTGATTAAAATAAGTCGGAAAAAACAAACTACTAACAATGAAATCAATGAAAATGTTTTTGCATTAAAATGAATTCACTTAAAGTAAATAAATAGATAGATAAATAAATAAATCAACAACAAAATTGACTAATTAAGATTTATCTCATCATTTGCAAATGAATTAGACATGAAAATGGTATTTCTAAGATAAATAAGAAATATATATATATATATACATTGGTAAGCAGGATAAATGAAACACAACAAAAACTAATGGAGAATGGAACTAAATAATAGATTTAATTGAATATTGAAATAAAAACAAAATGAAAAATTTTAGTCGATCAAACTAATGAAAAAACGTGATATTATCAATATATCTTAGTGATATAAATAAACAACATCTATTTATTTTCTATAATGATATAGCTTCAAGTGACTCATGCTTTCAACTATTAAAATTACTATAATATCCACAAAACCCCTTCTAATATGAATCAACATATGCTCACTAGCGATTGGCTTCAAGAGGTAATTCCTAGGGTTCTAGTGAGAAGCAATGACCAGTGGAGTTAAACCGGGTCTGTTGGGAGATAGTAACTCATTAAAGATAATGATGGATGTGTGGCTCGATTTCGTGGATTGGTTGAAGTGAGACATTAAAACCGTTCGACAACGGTCAGCTAAGTGGTCTAATGGTTAAGCGCTCGCGCTCGAAACTGATAGATCTTTAGTTAGAATCTTTTGAGGCGGGATCGTGGATGCGCATTGCTGAGGAGTCCCAGTTCTTCCAGGTTTTCCATGGTGGTCTAGCTTCAAATGACTCATGATCTCAACTATTAAAATTACTATAGTATCCACAAAACCCCTTCTGATATTTAATATTAATTAAGAAATAATGAGTATTATAGTTAAAGAATGAATAAATAAATTATACACAAACAAAAACTAGAAATTATGGATGAACACGTTGAATATAGATAACTCTAAGACCCAGTATAAATATCTGCATATAAATGTGAATTTAAACCATCAGATCTAATCTCTGTCATTTGTTGTTTGTATTACTTTGTGGTCACATGCTCTTGACTTATGACGGTGAATTCATGATAGCATATTTATTGCAGTTTCTAAGCAGTGTAAATGTTATTTCTTGTACTTAACATATATAAACTAATTAACTTTCCATTAACCTGCTCGAATGTCAGTAGCGAAATATTTTGTATTAAACAAACTTTTTACGCAATATTTAGCATAGAAAGTGTATTAAACTATTTCAGTAACAGCTAACCTACTTTAAATTACAATCGATGATTATTCGTGTCATATCACAATCATGATCAAGTAATAAAGTATGCTTCATCCAAAAAGTCAAAAATCTTTCATATATATTTCAGTTACACTTTCTGTTAATTATATCCATTTACAACAAATACGATCTAGATAACAACATGTAGTTTATTTGAGTTAGATAACCACAAATCTCTACATGACTGTTTTATCCCAATATTGAGGCTTCTCAGTGGTGAACATCTACAAACTTCGCCACCACTACAACCAACACCCCTGTAAGTATAAAAACATTTTTATTTTAGGGTAATAATAAATCCTTTGGGATAACATTTTAAATCATTGAAATATTAGCAAATTATTATGCTCATTATTTGATTATTGAATAAAAATAAATAAGTGTTATAACGTGTGATCCGCCGATTAGAGAGCAGCCTATTATCGATCAAAACAGTGACGCATAAAATACGTGCGAGCAGCCTAGAGTCCTGATTGGTCCTGCTTTCCTGTCTAGCCCAGCCAATTGAGTCCAGAACACAAGTCTCAGCCTCGGAGATATGAATCGTCATATTTCAAACATACACTGTTTATATACCAAACAAACAGACTACATCGTACCATAAATAGAAAGTAACATTTGTACAAGATTTAGCCTTTAGGAAATGACACAAATAAATATTGACCAATAAGGAGATGACACGTTGGAAGAATGTTGACCAATGGGGAAATGATACTACTTCTCATTCAGGAATAGCACTAGACAATTTCTGGGGTATTTTCTGAATACCCCAACAATAAGGTTATCATTAACGAATATTTTTTTAAAAAAAAGACACATTAACTTTTACTCATTTTCAATCTTCATTTCTGTTTATTCTAATACACTTAGTGAAATTATCAGAAGGGGCTTTGTGGAGATTTTAGAAATTTCACTGGTTGAAATCATGAGTCAATTGAAGTTAGATCAAGTTTTCTATGGTGGTCTAGTTTCAATTAACTCATGATTTCAACCAGTGACAATTAATGAAGGTTTACGTAGTTTAAAGACATTTACATAAATTTTCTAATAAACATATTTATTATTAAGTATTGAAAGAAAATATGAAAAGGAACAAACTTATTTCTATTTGCTGTTTTATCTTTTCTCAGGTCGTGAAGGTAAAGTTGCAGTGATACAATTAAATTGTCTAACATCAACTAAACCAATTGATCGATCACAAGCTAAAAAACTCAGTTTAGAAAAAACAAAAGGTATCATTTGATTATATTTCATATTATAAATGTTTATTCATTAATATTACTTACGTACTTACTTACTTACGCCTGTTACTCCTCGTGAAGGAGCATAGGCCGCTTACCAGCATTCATTAATATTATGCAATAAGATAGTTTAATGAATCAATAGAAATTAAAAAGTATTCAGATGATCATTACCTTTTATGTTTACAATTATACTTATAGTCTGAAACAAGTGTAATCTAGATGATATCAGTTACATAATGAAAAGCAATTTGGACTTTTAATAAAATCGTTAAAATGTCTTAACTTAATGTATAATTATTCTACTTAGTTGATAAATCTTAAGTTGATTTTTTTAAAATAATAATTGCAATGTAAAATTACAGTTATTTGAGACTATGATATTTGATTACTACAAGTCAAGTTCTTAATTTACAGAAATTATAAGAAAAAACTTGAATGCTTTGATGTTCGTTTTTGTGACTTTAAGAAGATTACAAAAAGATAATATTGATATAAGCAAAGATAGATGGTGGCTAATGGTGGAATTCGAAATGCTCGTTTCGTTCCATTTGGGACTTGTCAGGTGGATGTACTCAGAGTTGATTTTCACTCTGCGATTCGAAGACAGTACTGATCGCTTCAAACGCCATCATGTTATCCACTTAGCCATGCAGTAAAGACCATCTGCACAGGATGCATGTATGACAATAAGAGATTGACCAATTGCAGCCTTAAACACCAATGGAAAGATTCAAACAATCAAAACGAAATAAGATAATATAATGTTATATAAATTAATAAGAAGTAATACGTTATATTACTTGAATAGGGCAAGTTTCTTTGTTTTACTAAACGACTTCAGCTATTAAAATTGATCTAATAAGAATTGATCACTTAATGATATTGTAAAATGCAACGTAGAAAGATTAATTTTCGCACTCTATTTATTGAGTCTTCATTTAAAAGAAATAGAAATGTATCAACTGAAAGTAATTCACAACACTAGAATTTCCAAAAATTATGACATACAATTGTATAAGTATCTTGATACGGTTGTGGACATATTGGATTCAACATTTCGTTAAACAAAATATACAGTATAACTTTGTATAACACACAATAACCAACACCAAGGTCAGAATTTTTAATACAAGTGTCAAAACACTTCCACTGTATGAAGCGGAAACCTGAAGACCTACGAAAACCATCATCCAGAAGATACAAGTGTTCATTAACAGCTGTCTACGCAAAATACTTCGAATTCGTTGGTCATACACTATCAGCAACAAACTACTATGGGGGAGAATAAACCAGATCCCAGCGGCGAAAGAAATCAGGAAGAAGAGCTGGAAGTGGATAGGACACACATTGAGGAAAGCCATTTAAGAAGATTAAAGAACACATTACGTCGAGAAATGGAGAGAGACATGAGAAAAATTAACAAAATTGGATAGAACTGGAAACGAAGGTCCAGGACAGAGTGGGTTGAAGAATGCTGGTCGGCGGCCAATGCTTCATTCGGAGTAACTGGCGTAAGCAAGTAAGTAACACACAATAAGTAGACTATCATGGATACGAGTTCCTTTTGAAGAGGCCAATTTAATTATTAAGTTAAACATCTTAAAAGACATCAACAATATTAAGAATTTTTTAATAATAAATATATTTTTGTGGTATCCTAATGAGTACAAAATTGTATTTCTGACGTTTCGTAACCTAATGTAAGTCACTTCTTCAAAGCGAATAAATAACCAAAATAAAATTAACACTTTTCATTTCAAGGTGCTCAATTATTCGCTGTTAGTAAAAGTCCTAGTCATCCATTAAGACTAGCAGCTGCTGTAAATCGAAAAATTGTAATTTTTCAATGGCATTTATTTACTGGTCGTTCTTTGTCTTCATGGAATCAATTAGCACAACCAGATCCTGTTGAAAATTTTCAAATAATTAGAGTAGGTTTTATGAAGTTATTTATTTTATTTGATAAATTATACACAACACTACTAAATGAAGACAAATATCAAAAGAAAACATATCATTATACAAATATGGTTGTTCTCTGTGATTGCGTTATATTGTCATATCTAATAGATGATGTTTGTAATATAATCATTAAGATTAACGAACTAACTTTGCTGTATGTTGTATATAATGTTGTGTGGTTGAAGATAACATTTAGAAAAATACTCTGAACCGAGGTTTTGTACTTTAACACACTCATCAGCATGGTGATTTTGTCATCTTTAGATGGTAAAATTTCTAATTCCTATCTCCGAACATTGATGAATATCATTTTTAATGTTTTGGAAAAACTCATTTATGAGGTTTCTATGTAATATTCAAGTTTACGTATTGTAAATGTAATAATCAGTACAATCTTTTTCAGCAAAAACAATTTATTCAGAATTCTATTCTTAATGTATTTTTGTTAATTATAGGAAGTTCATATGATCGATCCCATACAAACTTTAAGTTTTGTCGAAGGTATTCCCGGTGGGAAACTATGTGTAGGATATAGAAACCAGTTTATTTTATTAGATGAACGAAGTAAAGAAACAACCCAATTATTTCGTACTGAAGGTAGTCGAAATCAAGTTGTTTCTGCATTGGAATTATGGGCTGACGATGAACATGAATTGTTACTTTGCTTCACAAGTAAATGAATTATTTTACTCTGTTTAAAGAAAGTTTTCATTTGTACACCATAAAACATTTTATGACTGAAATACTACTATGCATGAATTCACTTGATATTGTTTACATGAATCTTCCTATTAATGTTTAGCACTGCAAGTGATCAGTATGTTATTGACATATGTACGCATTGTGTATATTGCCTCGATATTACTTTAATTCACGAGAATTCCAAGCAAAGATGGATTGTGGCTAGCAGTGGAATACAGGACGCGTGTTTCGTTCCACTTTGGACTCGTCAGCTGAACGTGCCGGTATCGTAGATTTGATTTTCACTCTGTGACTCGAACCCAGTACCGTTCGCTTCAAACGGATAACGCAATGGCGTTTGAAACGAACGGTACTGGGTTCGAGTCACAGAGTGAAAATCAAATCTACGATACCGGCACGTTCAGCTGACGAGTCCAAAGTGGAACGAAACACGCGTCCTGTATTCCACTGCCAGCCACAATCCATCTTTGCTTGTTTGCTATTTTTATTTGTAAGTGTTCATATTTTCCAACTGCTAATGTTAAAGGACGTAATTAGTCAGTATTCGTTGGTATATATACATAATGTGTATATTGTCTCGATAGTGCTATTAGGTAGTGAGCTTCTTATTATGGTTAGTGTCTGAGGATGAAATTCAGGATATGTGCTTCATCGTATTTAAGACTCGTTAGTTGGATGTACCTGTATCCCACTAGTGATGTTCATAATAGCACAGTGTCCTTCGCTCCAAACGATCAACGTGTTATGTAATGACCTACTGAATTCAGACACTAACTTGCCCAACGCATATGGATTTTATTTAGTGGAACTTTTGCTAGGATAGTCTGTATCACTGGCTTTAGAGTTAACTGATGTTGAATTATCTCTAAATTGCAAAATTATTTCCTTTAAACGCGTAATTACTAAGTAACAGATACGGCAGAGAAATTATTTGATGGCTTCTAAAGAAATATCAAAATTCATAAATAAGCCATTCATAAATTTCAAATTAAGAGTTATTGGTTCTCTGAGCTTGGTAGGTCAGCGGATAACGCATTAGCTTTCTGAGTGGGAGATACTTGACTACAGTTTGAGTATTTGCATCAACTTTGAGATTCAAATGAATCTAGATATTGAGTAATATTTAAGATGAAACGCAAGTTAAGAATTCCACAGTTAGACCTTATGCAAATTTAACTGGAAGTCGCATTGTTTTCTTTAAGAATTATTATACTTGACTTTTATCAAATAAAATTCATTATAGGAACATGTCATTTTCAAAAACTTGCCCTAATTACACTTGGTATTGGTAGTTGTCGTCAACCGATTCCTACTAGCTGCCCATCTGATTCAAGCTTTAACTGGAGTATGAAGTCATCAATGGAGATAAATACAAATAAATCATCACCAGCATTATCTCAAGTACAAGGATCTACTTCAATGGATTCCCCAAATTCAACAACAAGTGGATCATCAATAGCTAGAAGTTGTTCTCCTGAACCATCGTTCAATTCCATGAATTTAAATTTACCATGTGAAGAAAAGGTGAAAGCAAGTGATTGTGATTTTGCATGGACATTCGAACCACAACAAGTTGGTAAGAAAAAGTTTATTAGTCAGTATTATGGTAAATCCATAATCAATGAAAATTATTCATCTTGTTGCGATTTCAATATATTATAGCCGAAAAAGGAAAGACACTCACATTCATTAGGGAAATCAGTTTAATATTACTGTTTACTGGCCACGTGATAGGAATTAATATACTAAATATATTTCTTTACTTCAAATGTCTTATTAAATCGAAATTTTCAATTTAAAAATTTTTTATAAATTATATTCAAGATTTCAGTACTATAAATTGTGCAACAGTGTTCCACTGCTTGGACACTAATTAATTGAATGATGTATAGATCTCAGTAGCAAACAGAAACAACACATGGAAATATTATACGACTAAATTGAGTAAATCTCACACTTATTTGGTACTGTAGCGTTTTCTGACCTGGACGGTTTAACTGAGGTTTTTATTTGTTCTGGACATCACAAATTTCAGTAACGGACAGAGCTCACTACAAATTTCATAAACGAATCATGTAACTGTGAAAAATATTGCAGTACATAAGATCGACTTCAAGCCTAATTATTTACTACACTAATATTTTGTACTTGTAAATAAGGGAGCTCAGTGTAAGGTGGTGGTTGAATGTAATCGATAGAGAACCTTGGACCTAGGTTTCGTGCTACTTGGCCATCGTCAGTGTGGTTTACTTGTAATCTTGTGCTAACTGATGCTTCTGACAGATTTGGTCCCATGTCACCAGACTTAAAATTCAGAGACAATACCACTCAGCTATCCGGACCTCCTATAAGACTGAGATATATTTACAATTGAATGATCACTGAGTAGTGATCTACTTAATGTATGTCAGGTCTTTTTAGTCACAGAGACAAGTGGTCACGTCGCAACATGATCAACAGAATTTGATCAGCACTAAGAGGAACATGGCATTGATCACTACATGGTGATCAGCCAATTTTAATTTAGTTCAATATTTGTTTCTTAGGTATATTCCCCACGTTTAGCATAAAATTACTTAAAGCCCCAATACTTAGACCACATTATTGGGTACTTATTTTTGACACAGACAGTAAATTCATCAATTTTGAAACTGCATTCGTCTCACAATCATTCTCTTTTGAAAGTTCGTAATTCGTCAATCCTCTAGTCAGAGAGCAAAAATGCCAAACATCTGGTTACAATTGCCCTTGATAGTTAGGCTCATAACTCGTGATTTTAAGTGTAAAACATAAGGCTAGTTTAACACCCTCTACTCCCAAGTTATTTTTTCAATATTATCCTTTCAGCTGTATGCTTTCCATACATTTTCGGATTTAATCCATCGGCAATTGAAATACGTTTATTAATTAATGGAAGCTTAGTGCATACAATGCTTGTAACTGATTGTCGGTTAATTACTGTTAAGGTATGTCGCATTTTTCACTGATTTTTTTTAAGTTTAAATTCCTTAACATTGATTTGATATTACCATAACCACCATTGACAATCTGGAAGCATTAGATGGACGTTTCATCATAGTATATGACTCTCGAGCAGTGGTCACCCACGAGCCTGCATCCAAAAATCAAACCCATGACTTTCAGTCTCTCGCACGAACGCTTAACCTTCAGACCATTGAGACGAGTGTGACAGTTACTCACCGTAGGCAACTGTTGATGGTTCCACAATATCATGAATTGGTTGGGTACTAGTTTGATGGTCTAGAGATTAAGCATTCATGAGCGTGCCAAATTTCAATCGATTTAAAGTTGTTTAAGATGATCATTGGTACAGTCAAATTTCTTTGTTTTAAGAGTGAGCACAAAAGAAAATGCATTACAATTAAAGTCACAGTGGAATTAATATTTTGCTATAATTGCTCAAATTTATATTGCCTTTCTTCAACTATTATTTCTATTATTTTTAAATAAAATATTAATTCCTATCCTTTTGACTTCAATATATGATGTCCCGTTAGATGAGTATATTTAACAGGCCTATTCTCTTAGTAGCACCAGGGATTTACTTGAGAATAGTCAAAAGCCAGAAAACTTTGTTGAGGTAGTTTATTTTTAATAATTCATAAAATCCGCAAGCACATAAGAGGCAAAGCACACTGGGAAATGTGTGAGTGAGTTAATAAAAATGTCGATTGTGTTTACAACCAATAGGGGAGGATAGATAGAAAGTAATGGTTTGTCACACACTTTTAATCGATTTCACATACTTTTACATAGTGGGTTCGATTTCCATAATAAAGTAAGTAGGTAACAGAAAATTCAATGGGCTTACTATAAACGCAACATAATGTAGACTATATACTGAGATTCATCAGTGATATTTTTTTCTGAATTAAAATTTATCTTTTATTTACTTTTTAAGGGTGACATATATTTTACATCGACTTCAGAAACATTAGATTATAAGACGAGTCCAACAATCAATAATACTGCCGTTACAAGTAATACTAGTAATGATAGCATTACAAAACAAAATGAGATAAAGTCTGTATTACAAGCAGTAGATCAATTAAATCTAGACGACAATCACCAAACCAATGGTAAGTAATTATTCTCAAATGTTGAATTATTAAAATAATCATAGCTGTAACACTATTATCTACATAAAATAATCATTCAAAGCTTTAAAATGTAGTATCTTGAGTATTTTTATTACTTTTTTATTTATTTACTTATCAGATCATGGAGTTTCACTGTTGATGAGTATTAAACTAGGACTAAACAACTGTCCAGTGATTTCGCCTGATAAATGATGATATATCATGATAAACATTATTGTATAATTCTATAGAATTCTATCATACTTAATCATTATGTTTAAATCTCATGAAGTACCCATGTTTAGATCTATAATGAGATTCAATACCTAAACTAAATAGTTACTGAAAGCTTCTGTGATAAAATCTGCATTCAAAACATATCTAAGCGAGTCATGTTCTGTTGATCAACGACAAACTATTTTAATTAGTCATAATTTCGAAGAATTGTATAGACATTGCTGTAATTTATAAATTGAGTTGTTAACTGATGTTCGTGTGTATTAGGATGAATGCCTCTTAATTTTCTTACTGCATCGATAAGGTCAACGAGTACAACTGTTTAAGTGCAGTCCAATTTATCATTTTCGTAAAATGAGTTTACAAATATATATTAGAGAATATTAAGTAGTTGAAATGATAAATGGTAAATAGCAGTTTTGTGTCATTGCGTCAGTTAACAAAATATAAGACTTATTACTCTATATGTCATATTTATACAATAAACTAACCAATAATGATTACTTGTGAGAAAGTTACCTTCAGGATTAAATATTATATTTAAGAATGGAGGGTGAATATGAAATCCAAATGATGGAGACTTAATGGCAAAACATCTCAGTAATAAGATAATCACAACAGAGAGTAAGCTAGATTATTGTATCAAATCGCCTAAAGTTATTTCTAACGTCTTCTTACAGTCAATTAAATTGACAGTCACTGTGAAGTGGACGAACACTCAGATGGGGACAACCAATTTATCATGTAATACAAAATTACTGAATATCTTCATGAATTACGAGAACCATATATTAAATGCTTTATTTGCAAATCTTCCATCAATTGTCCTTCGCATTCTGTATGGTTCTGTAGAGGCTAGTGTCGTCTATATCTGACTGCAATAAATAATATCCCTTTAAATGAGTATTTAATGCAGGCTAAATTTAGTAGAATTATGGATTTACTCGAGATTATTCAAAAGCCTGAACACCAGTAATATAGTTTATTGTTAAAGATTGGTAAAATCGGCAAGCGTACAGGAAGCAAGCACACAGGGAAACCAAGAGTGTTGTGTGTGTGTTTTAAAATTCCATATATGTTTTTGAGAGTGAATCAAATACCGATAAATTATTAATTGTCTGTGTACTACAACCAATGGGAGAACAGATTAAAGATTGATGTGCAGATATGTGCTCAATTAGACACACACAGAAATTTACATAACGGATTAAGTGAGCAGATAAATAATATAGTAGTTGAATGGGCTTACTACAGTTCTTCCATTTTACGGTTCCTACCTGTTCATATTCCCGTTCTCTTCTACTCGATCATCTAACCCTCTGTTGCCAGGCGCTCAACTTCTGATTAGTGTTACATACTACTTATGTCGATAGATATAAGTAGCATACACGACAAGTGTATCTATGCAGTGAAGTATCAATAATTCAAATACCAGTGAAACGTTAACTCTACAACAAATAGATTGCATTATGTTACCTCATCCTCACACAGAAGCGTATAATTATCTAGACCTCGAGCGAAGCTTTAAAAGTAATCAGAACCCTTATAGTAGAAGACAATGCATTGTATAACCTGATTAAATAGATTATCCTTTTTATTGATAGTAAAATTTTAAGCAGTGCACTCTTAAAGATGAATATAACGATTGGTATAACTACTATGTGTCATCGACATCCAGAGTTCAATTCATAATACATCATTATTGAAATATATACTGAGTACTATTTAGTAATCAATAGGTTTTACTAATCTTATCCTACCTAGAATAGTTCTGAATGTGATAATAAATCTCACAGACATGAACCCTTTCTCAAAATTGTAGAAAATCCACTTTTTGACAGTTCTTTACGATCACCTAATGATATTATATCTGAGACAGGAAAATGCCTTCGATTAATTTAAAATTTATTAGTACATCAAGTATATTAACGCTTGAAACCTCTTATCAACTGTTTTCTTCAGACAATAACAAACTTTCATTCTAACCAAAACATTAAATATAAAAATACAATTAAAACTTTAATAAAAACTTATGAGTATAATCATTATTTAAAATTATATTGAATAATAATAACAAACATTATTTGTAATTGTGTGTGTGTGTTGTTTTCTTCCTTTTTCCTTCAAGATTCTTTAATTTACCCAGAAATTTATGAAACTCATAAAAATTTACATTCATCATTTGAACAAGATCAAAATGAATTACAAACAAATTCATTTTCTACTATACAAACTATTTTATCACCTTCATGTTCTAATATGAATTCACCAACTGGTATAAAAATTTTAACTTTAAATTCAATGAATAATAGTACAAATTCATCATCAATTGTATCATCATTGAATTCAACAAATAATGATTTAAATCCATCACAAACAAATTTTATTTATAAAATACCAATTTATAGTTCAAATAAATAAATAAATAAATAAATAATAATAATAATAATAATAATGGAAACCGATTGTAAGCATAAAAAGCATTTTATAAATAACTACATACAGATATTATTTATTATCTTTAATATGTGTATTATATAACTGAATAGTTTGTGATCACAATGATTGAAAAGAACTCATAAACCAATTAGTGATAATCATGATAAGAAGAAAAAGTTAAAGAGAAAAATGAAAAAAAATAAATGAACATTACCGTATACTTGTTGTGATAAATAAATTATAAAACTTTTCTTTTTTTTTACTATTCTATTTGTTATAAACAATTTTAAATAAAAGTAAGAATTATAAAACTTTCATGTCTTGAACAACAACAACAACGATGACAACGGCAACGACGATAACAACAACGACAACAACAAAAAGAATGTTTTGTTCGTACTACAATATAATAAATAACAACAGAATGAACATTAACACTGAGTTAAATACTTATAACCAATGAAAAATTCTTTTTTTTTCTTGATAATTATGAAACTTTTAAGAAGAGAATAAAAGTTAGAAATTGATTTTTCCTTTCATTAAGAAAGTATCATAAAAACAACATATAGATACAAATATATACTCTGAATGAGAATCGACTATATGGTAGTGTAGTCAAACTAATAGATAATCTAAATGTTTGTGATAGACATTTTGTGTGTGTGGGTGTGTGAACAGAAATGTACCTTTTTTCCTATTTAAATTATATATATATATATATATATATATATATATATATATATACCATCTATAAATTGTATTGTTTCACCACTTTGTGTACTGTATTTCGTGTAAAATGTGCTATCTTTAAGTAAATAAAATGTTTTTTTGGAAATAAACTGTCGTTCATTGTTATTAGATGATGTAATTTGCGACTTTATGACGTTTCATGATTCGACCAAAGAGGTATTACATTTGACATTATTTTAATACAGATAAATTGTTGAATCTAATCAACTACTTTAATATTTATTCTCTTATATTAAAAATACAACAAATTATAATCACGAATTAAAACATTTATAAAATGAAAGTGTAAGCTATTTAAAACAGTACAATTACATTATTTGATCATATTTTCCCGAACTTCACTAATATGATAGCAATCGATTAATGCTTTACACTAAAACTATCGTAATGTTTGGGGATAGTAAACCATTGGATATTCTAAATTCACTTGGTGTTGTTTTACTTGTATCTTCCTGTTGTTATTTAGGACTGCAATTGATTAGTCTCATGTTGGTATAAGTGTATCCTGTGCGGATTACATCGATATAGCCTTAAGTCACAAGCTTTTTAAGCAAAGGTTGATAGTGGCTAGCAGTGGGATCCCGGACGCGTGTTTCGTCCTTTTTGGGACTTTGCGATCAGCAATGACATAAGTACCAAATCCCGGTTAATAAAATAACACTACCTACTTCTTAAATATTTAGGTTAAAATAAATCTCAACGTTAGACACTTCACTAATTTAATCAAGTTCAAAACAGTAATTTTTAGGTTTTGGCATACAGTCTAAAAATTAATATTAACTACCACAGTTTAAAAATAATACTAAAAATGAAAACTTCACACTGTGATTACGATACGAAAAGAGTTCATTGTATCATCTTATAGTAAAAATGACAACAAATAGATGGAAGGACATGGAGGATATCATATGATTTTGATGGATATTATGCTAACATCATAAATCAATAAGCACTGGATCTTTCAGCTCTTAAGCCAATTGCGTGATGATTATTACACTACTTAAATGGCGATTTCGAAGCTCACAGATTAGGATATAGTCAATAAGTTATTATTACATAACTACTAATTGTCAACCTGTTAACCGATATGCAAGTAAATAATATGAACATTTATAGAAACATTTGTTAAAAAACTATAACTCATTGAAATTTCAAGACGCAAATGAATTCTCTCAGTGAAAATGGAACGTGTGGTGACTGATTTTTGAATTCAATCTCCGTATAATTTATAGATGAAATTAAACAACGCCTTATAAAGTTATCTTTAAAATTAAAAGGAGTAAAATTACGTCTTTATAAATGTGAAAGTATATTTCCTTTTTTTAAATAAAATACTAAATTTAAATTTATTTTCCTTAAAAATAATTTGACAAAGATCATCAAACAGTAATTATGAGTATAAAAGCTTATAACCAGTACTGCAAAATGCCTTGTGGTTTACATTCACTACAGATATTACCGTTATATTGAGTTAAAACACAATGGTGTCACATTTAGTACAAAGAAACGACTGAATAATCAACTTCAGCTTGTGAGGCAAACTTAAGAAACACACTTTAATTCTACATTATATATATTGTACATTACGTCATTACAAATATTTTTAGACACATTCACGGTATGTTATTCATGAATATATGAATAACACAAAATCTATATGTTAGTATGCACTTTTTTCTCACTTGCTTTATCTCTCATTAATCGTATTATTTACATTACTTGTACAATTTATTCATAGAATTTTAAGACTTACTATTTAATTATCTTAGTTCTTTACATTTTGTCAATTTTAATTGTAGAATTTCTCAGGCAATACAAAAGAGGTGAAAATCACTTTCACTGTATGTATTAAGAGTAAATGTAATTTCTACTTCAATATTTATGAGAAGTGTTAGAGAGACCAATAATCTATGGACTAGCCAACCAGACATAAGATAACAGGTCTTGAATTTTTGCGCGAAATTCATTCATCTATTTGGCTAAATTGTGTTTTGGTATTTTAGCTGATGCCAGTTCGTGATGAAAACCCTAAATCTAGTTCCTAACTCTAACCATCAACCGTAAATCATAATTTTAATTTCTCACACTGCTGTACAACCCTTATTTAGTCCTGGTTAGCAGGTCGACCGAATACCATAAGCGACAGACTACTGTGGGAGAGAACAAATCAGATTCCAGCTCAAGAGGGAAAGACGCTGGAAATGGGTAAGACATACATTGAAGAGATCACCGAACTGCATCACGAGAAATGCGCTTAGAAACCTGAAGGTAAACGGAAAAGAGGTAGACCAAAGAACACACTGCGTCGAAAATTGGAAGCAGGTATAAAAAAGATTAATAGCAACTAGAAAGGGCTGGAAAAGATTGTCCAGAAAAGGGTTGAATGAAGAATACTGGTGAGCGACTCATGCTCTTTCACGATGGGTAATAGGCGTAAATAGTAGTACGTGGACATTCTCAAAGTCAATTTAGTGTCTCATAAAGGTAATCATATATTGTGGTCTTCCTGAAGTGTTATTCTTTATTGAGTAGTACGTATTAACTCATTAATATTATTCTATATCCAATAGAAAATCTTGAATGAATATTTTTTGTAGATTCAATGTAATACTACTTAAATGCTTCTATGTAAATAGGTTTACTATATACAACTAGAGTATCTTTCAAAATACACATATAAAACAACTTTGAGTATCTTTTCTAAAACCATTATATTTGTCATTCTTTTATGTAAAATGTTACATTTAGAATTAAACTTCATTACTTCCAAAATATTGATAATAGAATGGAATGTTTTCATAAAAAATCTTTTTACTATAATTTAATGACAAGTGTTGAACTGTATTCTTATTACTATGATCTGGAGACATTGGAATATCATTAATATTGGCAATAACATTATTAGAGTAAAACAATAAGTCATTATAAGTTAGTTTGAAATAATTCTGATTTCTTATTAAATTACTTTTAGGTTCATTATTTTCATAATTATCTATTGATAGATTATTCTGTTCTAAATCAATGGTATTATTCATTTGGCTATCCGTTGTTTCAATATTAAGATTTGAACTATTATCGATAGAACATATGAACTCTTTCATTATTTGATCACATTCAATTGGTTTAAGAAAACTAGGTGAATAACAATCAATTGAACTAATTTTATTATTCTTTATCATTTTCTGGTATGTATTATCATTAAATATTACATCATTATCAACGTTCATATCAGTAGTATTATACTGTATATCAAATGTTGTATTATTTGATTTAACCAATAAATTACTTTTTAATGAAATATCTAATTGTTGATATTCTATGGAACTATTATTCAATGAAATGTTATTTGATTCTTTATTATATTGGAAATTTGTATTACCTTTTATAATTGTATTGGAAAGTTTCTGAAATGAAATAAATAATATATAAAACTTTGATATTTACTGATAAATATCACTCAAAATAATAACTCAGCATTCTTAATCTGTTAGAAATTAGTTTAATAAAGGAACATATAACAAAGATTGAAGTATCATGTTATCTAATCTAAATGGATCACCAAAAAGAATTTCAAACTAAATGAAACGAGTAACTAAAGACTAAAAAGACAAAATATGGTTCACTTATCATACTAAATATAAGTGAGGTACAAAAACAGTTTTACTCAGATAATAATCTTTATGAATATATACTCGAATACTTACCTGTTCACTAGATGGGATCATATTCGATGTGTGATTAGAATTAGTATTCAGTTGATAGTCAATTAGTCTATCTGAATTTTCATTTCTTGAACAAGAATGAATTGGTGGTATTTTCCTTTTGTAAACTCTTTTTTGTTTATTGTCATTTGAAATAGTTTGTAATTTCTTTTGATAAGGTTTTGAAGTGTTTTTAACTTGACTAGAAATCTACCAGTTAATAGATAATGAATAAAAATAAATGTGGAACGTTTAGTTGAGATAAATAAGGGAAGTGAATAACATTTCATTATTATCGGTTCAACAATCTCTTAACAGTTAAACATTTAAATTTACATTCCTTAGAACTACATTTTAAAAGATCAGTTATTTATACATTCTATGTATCCGTTTGATAGTGTAGTTCATAATTACTCGTAACTAAATATCACTGAGACTAGAAAACTTAAAGTACGAAATGAAGGTGAAAAACGACAAAGCAATAAAGTTAATAAATTTTAACTATTCACCGGAAATTTCGTCATAAACTAAAATCAACTGGAAAATAAACAAAGAGTGAAATGAAAATCTGTTGAACAATTGAACTCTTCAACAGTGTCCATAAATGACTCAACTAAGGAACTTCAGATCTCGCAACGACTTCATTAGCTTTAGATCACTATGTTATAATCCATTGGTCGATAATCATAAATATAATAAGTTTATAAAACAACATAAGCATCCAGTGTCATCGGTAAGTAATTATCTCAATTCAGATATGACTGAGCACCATTAATCACGAACTGATATAAATAACTCTCCTACACGATTACAGGACCATATTATGAAAAAACAAAAGGTGAGTCAAATACTCACAGAAATGCATTTTAGAACTATGAATTTATATTAAAAATATACATTACAAATGCTGTTATACGTAATTCTTATCAAATGAATATTTCTATGATAAGGAAAAAAGAAAAGCACCAGTTATATATTAAAAACTTTTCATTGTACATTATTTTACTGTTGAGATTTGATGAGAACATTTTTTTAATGTGAATAGTTTAATTGAAATCCAGGATTATAGCGTTATAAAACTATACATTTATATATGATTTTAATTAGTCGTAAACAAGTATTTCTAAACATCCACAAAATAAATTGGACGTGTTCAGTTTATGTACTTAATCTCTCAATAATCAATACGTCATTAAAAACTGGAAAATTTCGAGAAACATCTATATAAATTCTTATTATTAACTGATTTTAGTCGAACAATCAAATAAATTCCCAACCTAATAAAACTGCTAGAAATCTTTTATGAAAATAAATCACAAATTTGATGCAATGAGTGAATAGTCTGTGAGATAGGCATATTATGACTTCCTTTGTTATTCTTTACATGA